AACAAATATTTGATAACAATAGGCTATAGTAAACTTAGGATCATGATGCCACACCCTCTGAGCTCTGACAATTGAAATCGACCCAAAATTACATTCTGGATCCAGTAGATATTAATACAAAATACATAAATAATTTTAAGCAATGCTTAGATTAAGGTGTTTTGTTAATAAAACAATTTACAGGTGGAATAATGTAAATTATTTTGTTACAGTACAGGTACTTTTGTTTGTTTATTATAGCCATTATGCATAATAAAAGCATTCTACGCTGATAATTATGACTTCATTAAGTTAGAATAAACTCTGAATTATTTATGCGGAAAATTGCATACAAATCCTGAATAAAGGTAGTCAAACAACCATCTCTTATAATCGACTTTAGTCAGTTAGAAAATGTCGAACGCATCGTTCGCTTAAAAATTGACGTGTCCTTTACACATTTCTGCAAATAGGCTTATTTGCAGAAATAAATTCACTTGTTTCACTTCTCTAAATTGGACTGATTGAGTCCTTTATTTTATACCAGTTATGGCTTATGAGTTGCAATAGGTATATCATAAAATACTTATTATGTCAGAATCAATAACACAACTGGTATAAATTCATTATAGGCGGGTAACTGTTCTTTCCTAGAAAACAAGTGACGTGCATTAACGTTGCCAAGGCAATAGAATTAAACTAATGATTGTAAACAGTGTGCAACGGTACGTAATTAGCTACAAAGTTACCAACACTTGAACCTTTTACAAAGGCATGCATTCATTAGCATTAGTGGTTTAAAGACAATTCACTTAACGTGTTAATAAGGAAACATTCTTGCCTAATTGCGTGAAATTACCTTTAACACGTTGGTAGAAGCAACATAGAAATCACAGGCAAAGAAAAACTCGAGCGTCAAATTAAAATTATGTAAAACAAAACATAGATAACTAATATTATACAACTATTGTCAAATTAGTTTCAAAATAAGAACGAGTCATGTGGAATATTTCCGTAAAAAATCGATTGGTGTTTCCTTTTTGATTTTAATTTTAATTTAAAATTGTATGTAAATTGCTACTCGCGTGATTAATTCTTGCGATGTTTTATAAAAATAGTTTCATAAAATAATGAATTATAATATTATGTCAGTCAATATACCTATAAATAGTCTGATAGGTTTTACATTGTCATGAAATTACTTACAACAGCCATTATAAATGCAATTTATTACGTATAATAAATAAATAAATTCCCGTGGATATTCATGCAACCAAAAGTAAATGTCTTCAATTCGGCACGTGTCGCAAATTGGACTTGTCCATTATTTTGATTCAGTAGTGTTTACGTAGTTCGACACACCTCCAAAATGTGTTCGACATAGTAATAAATAGTGCGTCGGCATAGGTACCTACTACATCAGCTGACTATCGTCAGACGTGCACATGACAGCTAATTTTATTTTAAAACATTCGCCATTCTTAAAAAAACGTCGCTGTTGACATTTCAAGATCACAACCAAGCTTTTGTGGCACGTTAATTCTTAAATAATGTTTGTTTAAGAGTCCATAGAGCGAATACCTACTATACTCGTTTTACCTTGAAATTCCGAGAAAAATCAATAAAAGCATTTCTCGTAGCGACCAAAGCTTTCATTACGGAGGGAATTATTGTTAAAATTCATTATTTATTTTTATTTAATCGTGGAATAAAATATTATAGAAATTAATGTAATAAATAATTCGATAAATCACGACTTTATAAGTAGTAGATATAAGTAGAATTACTAGATAATGACCGGTTACGTAATGAGCTCTCGCTATCTAATTACATAGATAAACGTGTTACATGATGTAAGTCGTTGATAAATTGGTTGCTACTGAGTTACATTACCGATTTACAAATTGTTTTTGAATATACAAAGTTATTTGTCTACATTTGCATTAAATTATATAGAGAGCAACGAATTTTTTTGTTGTTTATTGCACTTTCGATTAATACCTACTTTACAAGTCTGATTTGAGCCGCGGAGAACTTAACGGGTTACCGGGGCTCCGGCTCGAAGCGCCTCACCCAGGCGGGAGAAGTCATTCGATGATTTTCCCCCCTTAAAAAACTGATATGATTTGCCAACATGTGAACTAATTACTAAGTAACTTATGAACGTAATTATCGAAGTGTGATGTTGCTGTGTCGTATCCGGCGAGCCTTCCGATTTAATAAAGTAACAGGTTAATCAAGTAAATTATTCATATCAAGGTAACTAACATGTTTTATTATAGACAATGTTAAATTCTTCCAAATATTAATGAAGTTTATTCGACAAAAATTTCTTTCAACTTCTTAAGCATATTTAGTGTACACTTGAACTCAATTAGTTATCTAGGCTGGAATTCCCCTTTATCGGAATGCATCGTGCTCTATAGATTTTAGCAACTAAAAGCCTATACTATCACTAGAAATAATGGTGACACGAAGTCTATGTTTACCTAACAATGATCAGTCAGGACACGCCCACCGCATTGTTTTTGTTGATAAAACATGTTGACGTATCCATATGTTTCAAACTAACATATTAAACCGTTGAGATAATCTGAACGAACTCTAAACCCGACAATACTACCCAGTTACCTACTTCAAATTTAAACGGTCGATTCGCATTGATGACGTAAAAAATTAAATATGAAAAAAATGTGGTAAAACTTGTTTCGTATGAGATAATAGAAGTTGATTCTACATACCTAAACTACGCAGTAGTTTAACATGTGAGATTTAAGATGTTCGGTTAATCTACAATCACGTTGAGGACCTACCACGTGGTGCGCGGACCAATGTAAATGTGCAATGGATGCGCATGCGATTAGGACTGAAATAATGTAAACATTACGTTGTCATTTCTAATAATAGCACAAAGTCCAAGACTTAGGACTACGCTAACATTTATTTATATCTTGTAAAGGTAAGGTACGTGGTGTTTGCCGCCAAGAATGTCATAATTAATAATTTCTACAATCAAAAGGGATGACTAACCTTTTAAACCGGTAATAGTAGCGAACTAAAACAGTTTCAAGTGGATTGCCTTTACCTAATTCGCTGGTTTTATTATGGTCGTAAATACGAGTTTAGGAGGCTACCTGTTAGTGAAATTGGATGTCAATGTCACGCCAAAAATTTGCTCTAAGATATCTAATGAAATGGGTTGCTTCTCAATTGATAAACAATTCTAAACATTTGTTCTTATTAATAAGATATAGATTTGGAACAGCGGCATTCTAAAATTATTTCCGTAGATAAAAAAAGATATTATCTTATATTTATTATGTCCTTCACTAAAGCCCTTAGAGATTCATAAATACAAATGCAATATACATTAAGATTTTATTATTATCGACTTGTAACATTCCAACCGATATAAAAATGCAATATAATTATAGTACCTAGATATATAAATTGCAAGAGATCGTTGATCTTAATAATTACCTGTTTATACTGAGTGTTGTAATTAAATAGCAATTTATTGTATTAAATTGTAAGTTATTATTTACTGTAAGCAACATTACAATACAATACTGAGATAATGAAGTAAAACAAATTGACTTTACCAGTAAATCATTTAAGGTATCAGAAAATAAATATATAATCACGGTAGAAGTTGAATAAAGATAATTTTAACAGCATAAGACCTATTAAGGATTTCTTTTATCGCATTAACAATTGTTTTTAGGTTATCTAAGTATAAATTAGTTTAGTAGAACAGTGTTGCAGTACACCATTATACAGGGTCGCCAATGTCACGCGATGTTATGGCTTTTGTCAGAATTAACATGAATACCGACTGTGTTAGTAATACTAGCTATTGTTCAAAACTATGATTCGTCCTCAATTTTCAATTAGAACTTAGCTTTAATTCATCTTACTTGAACAGAAATACTCAAGTACCCAATATCGATTACAAAGATTCTAGTATTATAAATTCGTCACATAAAAATTGTCTTTTAATTTCCATGTTTGTTCGTGAAAATGTTCAATTTGAATAGTTTACGTTACGCACCTTATATTAGTCACACTGCATTACAATACAACGGAATCGTATTTATATTCGAATAATGTTCGTTAATTTAAATTTTATTTTTATACATATTGTTAAATCGGTTACATTTACTTGTATATGAAAGTACAACAAGTGCGAGTACTTTGTACTTTCGACTTACGAAATGTCATTTTTTTCATTTAAAAAGTTTTACTTCCAATGCGCGTAGGCATGTATCGGTTCTTACTTGTTTTACATGCGCGTATCGTTTGCGCTGCCAAGTGGCGTTATTTTTGTTGCAATAACGGAAAAGCTTATTGTACTTTACTAGTGCCAAAAAGGGTGTCGGCAATTTACCTACCCACTGCAGATTACGTAACTAACAATTTGTAACAATTTTACAAAGTCACTGTTGCCTATCTGTTAGGTAAGCAACCAAAGTCTTCACAAAAAAATATTATTACAACACTGTTACAGACTTTATCAAAATTCAAACACCACGGTTATCATGGAATTTTATATGTAACCGGGCATAATAAAAGCTGACATTGGTTGAGCTTACAGAAACTATTTATCAAATCCGGTATTTTAATGTAACTAGAAAATCAAGTGCTAGTACGATGTTACATCCTTAGGCCGTGCATACGAACAAGTTCATACTTAGATGGCATAGGCATGAAGTACTATTTTATATCATCGATGAGGCTGACATTGAGGATGTGATCAATTAGAAAGGAAAGCGCGGCAACTATTAAACTTACTTACGTCTCATGAAGGTTTACGCTTACAACACAGATCACATTTCTCAGTCAGTCTCAGACAAGATTGACCAGTTGCAACGAAAACGAGGCCAATAAGCGTTACTTGCACTGCTTGTACGAAACGGCAAAAAAGAATGTACCGATATTGAATGTAAAAGGGTTCCAAACTTCAGTGTTGTAATTTATAAAGTATCCATATGTTTTTAACTCGCTAAAAATCTATTACTTACCGAGCTTTCCCATCATTTCTTCTAAAGCGTGATCCTTGTCCATGGTGAAGGTGGTAGTTCCCGGCGCAGGAGTTGTTTTGTCGAAGTTCTGTAATGATATTCACAAACACCATTGATGGTATAGTTATGTCAAACGCGCGACGGCGTGAGCAGTGCAGGCGAACGCCAGGCGTGCGTGCCGGCGGACGAGCGAATGGATGGCAATCGTCGCGTCGTGGCGCCGACCGCGGGTCGGTTACCGCAATCGCGCGAAAAAACCTAACCTCTTATCTGCATTGGCCATACCTGCCAGTTCGGTGATCGTCGGCAGTGCCAAAGAGGCACTGGCCGCAGTACCTTGCACTGATACGGAGTACGGACACAGACAGTTCACAAGCTCACAACAAGATACCTCAGTGAATAAATTTAAAATTTTCAAACAGAGGAACAGGACGAAAGGAAAAATCTAAATAATTTTTTTTTGGTTTAACCCAAAAATGATAAGTATTGTAAATTGGGCGTTACTTTTTGGCGAGTAAAGTTATTATCAGTACATACATAAATGAATAATATCGACCGGACTGTTTATCATAATTCAATTGATAGAGCACACATTGCTTGTTACGTATGAACATCGATGTTTACTGCAAACAATTTCAAATGGCACAAACATGTTTCATGTGTACCTGTCGGATGTTACGGTTCACAAAATTGTATTCATTATTGTCTACAGCTACTGAACCCACATCTTACGCGGAAGATTTTCAGGAGTTTGCCATTATCTCCATATTTGGGGATCGCACTTGGATCACCAAAAAATGTAAAGGATACACTACCCATCTCTCGGGAATGCTATGCTTATAATGTAGCCTAATTCGTTAGACATAGAAACCGAAATCGTAAATCAATGAAAGCGAAAATATTTGATTGACTTACATTGCTGAAGTGTTCTCGTGAAATACCACTTCCCAATGTTGGTCTTCCTTAAATATGTCCTTGAAGTTCACCAACTCAAAATTATGAACAAAAGAGGTTTGGAGCAATTGTATTAGTCCTTTCACGTTTGTGATAAGAAAAATTATGGTGCTTTTAAAAAGTATGAGTAATTAGATGTCTCTAGACAGTAAAAATACCATCTATTATGGTGACCATATGACTCATCGATGACGACAAAGTCTCCATTCGTTTTCTATGACGTTAACAGTTATAGAAAGTAATTGTTTATGATAAGGATTTTAAAAGTGATAAAGGAACTCAAAATGTCTATGGGCCCTATATTTTTGCTGACGCAACTTAGAGGCGACTTCATTTGGGAAACAATAGTGACGTAATGACGTCATATTACGAGGGAAACTTGGAACAGTCAAGTGCTTATATTGGACACATTGATTTACTCTTCAAACTGTGTACTACATAGTACATTGATAAATGAAATTTCTTTTCGACTAATCGTCGATAAAATTACACTATCATACGATAATTCTGTAAGCCCTATCAATAAACTGATATTAAAACGTTTATATTGAAAATCTTTCGAGACTTGTCCTATATACTATTCATTTAAAAAAATCGGTATTTCCTTTTTGTAGATTAATGTGTTATCTACTAAAATCTGTCTACTTATAAAGCGGAGATGTAGCCAGATTATTATTTTAAAGTAGATTAGAAATCAATTGTCATGACCATGACTAAATGGTACTTGATGATCATTTATAAAAAATTAACACTATCATCTATCATAATCATCTCTATAAGTACCAATTAAAAGATAATGTTTAATATCTGGGTTAAGTAATTAAGTTTAAAATGACATCTAATCAAAAATTAGACATTAATGGTGTCTGAACAAATGGCAATCGTTCTAGGATCTACAACAATTCTTCTTGTATAAGCTTTATATTTGTATCTATTCCGTTACATTTCAGCATGGGATATTTCTGATCTATTAATCCTACACATTTTAATTGGTTTATCCGAAACAGTGAAGCCATTTTCTCCGTGGCCCTAAATACTTGTCCTTATCCATTTAAGAGAGGATTTAGAGCATTATACAACATGTGTAAGGTTAAAGCGACAATAATAATATGTAGTCGAAATGTTGTGAAGAGAAAAACAAACTAAGTATTATCATTAGGGCCGATAATCACAACTAATAATAACTTGCGCTATGTTATTATTGACTTGCCCTTTATATTGTTGAAATAGTAACGAGGTAACATCAAACTATTTACAAGTTTTAAACGAAAATATACTTAATAGCTTCCGTAATTAAGTAGTGATTCTCTTTGCATGTTAATTTGCATTTTCCGATTTCAATGGGATTACAAAAATAATGGACACAAGGACGGGCATGGTTTTGTTTTGATTCTATTGTAGTTAATTATACAGCGTGAATCTATTCATTAGATCTGATTTATTGCCAAGCTATTCTATTAATGTGGAAACCGCAAATGTACGATTATGTTAATAGTATTTGTTACATTTGTTTACTCAATCCTCGAAGTACATTTTTTCAGGATCATAACATAATATGGCTTTGATTCCCCAGGGTAGGTACTTATTTGTAGCACCCAGTTTTTGCTAGCTGTTATATATTATTACGTAAGTCCAGTGTTACAATCGAGCCTACAATACAGACACAATTCTAAACTTTTCCTGCAAATACTGAAATTTATGTTACTGAAGACCGAAAATCTCAGCATTTCTCTAACCGATCAAATCGTACCCAACACCCTTTGCTTAGCAGTCTCACTTACAACCATACAATCGGTTTCTCAAGGACACGGACACAACCTGTTACTGCTCCAATTTCTATATCTCAGCAATCGTAGCGTTAACTATACATAACCTCTATTCGAAGGCGTCCACGCTTAGTATTCACAACATTTAGAAAGGGAAACCCTTTTATGAATTACTTTAACCAACGTTGAGGTTGCCTTGAATGAATGAAGCATTTATATTAAAGCAATGGTGAATGATTGACGAAACAATGAAATAATTGTGGAGGTGAAATTTTATTTTCTTACATAACATAACATCACGCCTTTTATCTCATAAGGGGTAGGCAGAGGTGAACATTATGCCACTGTACCACGGAATATAGAATATCTATATTCCGTGCACTGTACAATGTAACACCCACTTTTCAATATTTATGTTATGTAATATCATCTCATGTGCATGCCATATACCTACCGGGCACAATTCCAGACTCCGTGCTATTACTGAGATTTTTTTATGAGTATATAGGTACTGGCTGTTATGTGTAGGCACGAGGGATGTATTACACAGTCATGTGGTTTGTCTCATTGAACTAGCAGTGTACTTAGATCAGGTGTTCTTCGGTAATAATGAATGTATTTATTATTATATTGTTTGTACATAACTTATGTTACCTATATTATTATTAGTTACCTATGAGCATGGACTATCATGAATTTCACTACGTACCACGTTTAACATAACACTTATTTTATTTTTTATATTTGACGGGCCGACGTTTGACCACTATCTCGCCTGGTGGTAATCGATGATGTGGTCTACAATGGAGCACGTTGACCCATAAGCAACCTATTCACTCAGGCCTTTAAAACGCTCAGATTTATACCCTTAAGGAAACACGGACCATGGCGCTGACACGCACGTTTCATAAGCTCGTTTACGATCACGAAAAATGGTGTCCAACGAATAAAACTTAAAAGACGTATCCACCAAACTTCTTCACGACTACACCAACAAACATGTAGCTACAGATACTTATATAGAGAGTACTGGGATGTAAACATCAATGATTGTTCGAAAGGGTATCTCTATACTAATGTAAGTATACAACGAATTACACTGACCTATATTGCCCAACATTCATTTCCACCATACATTCTACGTCTTCGCTATTTCCAGAACATTAGAAATAGCATCCGATGAATGTATAGCTATATATATAGGTGTTGTTTATTACCTTTACGTACTAACTGTACTTAGGACAAGATGTTGACTTACCTTAATTTAACCCCCGAAAGGAGTAGGCAGAGAAGGCCCATGGGACTGACTGTCAGTTATTGTATAAAGTATTATAGTGTTGTAGAACACTTAACTAATATATTAACACTTACTATGTAAGAATATAAAGACTGAGAGCATGAATATATAAAATTTCAACCTACTACTACTACACACACATAAACACACAGGTAGTCTCTACTCCTTCAGTAGGTCTGGCCTTCTTCTCTTCCGATTATTTCTAATCGAAAGGATTATGTGTAATAAATTAAGCATTATCTGAGGCATTATACTAAACACCGATGGAGAAAAACCACGAAACAGAAAAAATCAGTGAAGTACTATTTATAATCTTTTCGATTTTACTCTCGGATATTTTAAAAATATTTATAATGCATTACAAACCACTTACTAAACGTCTTATTATTTAATATTCAATAGCTTACACTAAATGTCTAAAAAGTATTATTTGTCTGACAACACCTAGATCGAAGTGTCTAACCGTAAGTTTATTGCAAAAAGTACTATATTACAAAATATCGCACCTATAGTGGAATGTAAACATACATTCATTGATATAAGTACGAATGAAGCCTATAATAAATGATCATCAGACATAGATATAAAATAATATGATAATCTCAAAGGAAATATCCGAAACTAATCCTGCGTAATCTCATTTTAATGGACTATCACAGACAAAGCGAAAAAATACGTATGCAGGTACCTTCATACGTATATATTATACAATGTTATGAAATAGTTGTTATCATGAGTGCCTTATAGACTTATCTGATTCTAGTAATGTTATTAAGTTCGAATAGGTATATTAAGCAACGATTTAATGTGTTATCACTACGATGATCACGAGTTACATTAGCCAGGTACCTTCATGTTCTTGGTAGCGCCGATAATTGCATTCAACAAGGATAATTTTAGAATAATTCTTATAAAGGAGAGGGGAATAACCAGTATCCTCACTGCACACATATGTTAATCATTTCACTTAGACATTGAATTGCTAAACTGCACAGGACTAAGTATACGACTGTAATGAATTATTTAACACCCAACTACTTGTAACTAAAGACGTATAGGTACTATTGAAATGTCTATTTGTCATCAAATCTTAACGTCAATTTTTTAAATAAATCCAAAATCTATGAAGCTTCGACGTGTTTTAGAAAACCATGTCTGTGTACGTCTGTAATTTATTAATAGTAATTTTAAATTATGTAAATAGGATTTTGTACAGCTAATATTTTTCATGGAAAATCTTGTTTTTTAGGATCGGAACTATTTATGAAGATGTAACAACAGATGTGTTGGGAAAAATCGGTTCTTGGCAATGGCTCGTGACATTTGTCTCAGCTTCACACATGATGCTCGCTATGTTTAATCAATACGAAGACATCTTCCTGCTTCGACCTTCAGAAGTCTATTGTATATTGCCTAACGACGAATACAAAATAATAAATTCAAGTCTATGTGTCGTAACTTTTCAAAACAATGGGACCGAAGACTATAGATGTAATAAGTGGCATTTAAAATTTTTGTGGTTCATTTGGCTGAAAAAGACGGTAATTTTAATGGTTGCCTACGTTTTCTATTGTTATTGTAAGACTATGGAAATTTTTGTGTTTAGTTAATTAAGGGTCTTCTTGTTGAAATGGAATCTTACCTACTTACATGTAGGTACCTACATACCTAACCTACTTAACAGAGTTTCTTTGTGTTTGTTTTTACTTAACACAAAATCACGCGTGGTATTCCCCTAAGGATTACACATCATGGCATTTATACTTATTTATAGTCTCAACACTCACTTTTCGACAATTATATTATTAGTTTCAATTGCTTTTTAATTGACCTTAAATTTAATGTCTACTAAAATAAAGTTTATCTTTCAGTGGCTCGTGTTTTGTGACCAGAAAATGAAGTTGCTATCAACGGCCATTATAAGCCGTTTTGGTTTAGTCTTTGGCTTTATCATATTCGGCTTGATCGCAGACAGGTAACCAGTTCTATTAGTTAATAGACCCATCGTTATTTTCAACGGTTTGTTTGCATATTATATGACTAATAATCTATTACGCGTCATATATATTTATTTTAAGGATATTGAGACGAACCAAGTCACCTGATTGGTGATTTTTGAGGCTCGGCTTGCGGTTTCAGGTTATTCCAGTTTATAATATATTCAGTTTTTTTCCTTAGCTTTATTTTGTATCGAAAATAAATTTTATAGGTACATACATCACGTGAAATAACAGCAGGAGGGTAAATTCTTTTCAAATGAATCAATTGAGAATAGGTACTTGCTCTCAACATCTCTATTTATTATGAAACCTCTCTTTATGAATGTAACGCGAATAATAATGAACAGGAAAATTAAAAGAATTTAACCTACTAAAACTATAAAGTTAAGTTTAAAAACGTTGCAATTGAAAGGAAAATAAATAAATAAGTGCACGTACTTACAGAGCTACTGTAAAAACTCATTTATTTCATACCTAAGTAATTTTTTTTATAGATTTCACAAATCACCAAATGCTTAGACAATCACCTAATTTATAATAGTCACCTAATTTCAAAAAAATAGGTTGCCTGAAAATTACCACAACTGTTAGACCATCTACCATTTATTAACATTCCGAGATTCACACGTGGTAACAACACGTACCTAGGTATCTAAGGTCATCGACCCCGGTTATCATCTTAGTGCAACGGCCACGTGTATTCTGTATGTATACAATTTAAAAATCTAACCACAATTCTTACCTAGAACGCGTACTGAATAGCCTACCAAAGCATGGCCGTATTATAGGGATTAGGGAGGCCAGCCTTCTGTGGTCCAGTCTAATAATAAAATCTAGAGTCGAATAATCGAATTCCACCTACGTATTTGTAGTACAAAAGAGCAAAATTACCGGGCAGAATTTATTCTCAAAACTGTGAAACCGCTTTTTTCTATCAAAATATTCGAAATAGTCTAAGTACAATACTGAATTGCACACCTAATATGCTCATTAAATAAATCCAGTATTCTATGTATCCGTTTGATCTTTAAAGCTAAACTATTTTACTGAATGACTATCCTATTAGAACCGCAGTTTAATATGAAATAGATCAAGGAGACGGAGCCCCGCGGGGCGGGGCTCCTATTTCTGACCGCAGGATTTGGAGTACTACCTACCTCCCATGTCGGACTGCCATCAAAGGTGAACATTTACTATAATTCCGTTGTAATATCGAATAATGAGGTGTGCAAATCAATATCTTTGTGATAAGTAGGTATTGTGAGTGATATTGTTTCAAAATGCGTAGGTATTTCTGAAGTTTTCTACTTGATTTTTTCTGTAAATAAATTATATAAAAAGCCTTCAGATTTTGACGTATTTTAAACATTTTTAGTGCAATAAGTACCATAAGTTGTTAGGCAACTAACTAGTTAATTTGTACTTACAGTCATTTATTTGATATGCAGTAGGTTACTTGTGGCGAAATTTTGTTCGCTTAAATTAGAGGTAGTTAAAAATTACCCATAATTATCAACTGCAACACAACTGATATTAACAGGATGTTAATATACAATTGTTTATATAATTATCACATTTTAAAATTACTACGAAGCATTGCTTGGTATCATGTGACAGTACTTAGGTACCTACCAACTCTGTGATAGCTCTCAGTCTCTTACATCCGTGCAATGTAACTGGACGGACAAGCTTATTAAAATAACTGTCTCTGATTAATTATTTCCTTTCCTTAGTATCTAAGTTAAGTGTAGCGTTTATGTATTTATATAACAGGCTTGTTACTGATCATAAAAAAGGTTAACCTAAGTACGCAACAACGCAACTTAATTAAGAAACATGTTTTCAATTAAATTCTAAAGTAAGGTTTTATGAAGAAAAGCTTTAATTATTATGTGTAAAAATATAAATACCTAGGTTCTATACTATCCCATAAAAAAGTCTTGTACCCATGGACATGACAAGCCGAGCCAAGCAAGACTAGATGATAAGCCAGTAAACGAGCAGACGGTTATCCGTCTGCCTGATGGACACCTGGAACACCAAGGGCAGTACATGTGCATTACCGGCTTTTTGGGGATTAGGAATTTGAGGAATGTCGGAGATTCAGGGACATTGGGGAAAAGGGGGGATTATTGGGCCTTCGGTAACCTCACTCACACGACGAAAAACAACGCAAGCGTTGTTTCACGTTCTCAAGAAAACTAAGATTTCCATTCAATTTTTAATTAATTCACCGAAAGTCTGTTTAAATACCTAAATTGTATATTTGATATATTTTGTGTTGATAACAAAAGCGATTTTTTTATATTTTGTCTAGACTAAAGAGACCATGAAAAATCATCTTTTCAATAAATAATTCCGTAAAACCTCATGAGACAATAGATATGACATACCTATTTTTTGTTTGTTAAATATTTATTAGACTTTCAAACAATGTACAGGCACAATCAGGGTGCTTACTCTTGAAACCACTCTCAATGTCAACGCAATTTCAATCCAATAAAATCTCAATAATGATTCAATGTCAAAACTGTACAACCACAATTGTAGCTGTTACAATAGCATTTAAAGTTCGGAATATAAAGCCAAAGTGAATACCATTTAGTTCATTCAATATCCACGCAATACGAATGCAATGGGCGCTGGTGTAGCAACTCAAGAGTACGAAATTTCACAATACCAATGTCGATCGATCGGAATTGGATTCAAGAGTAAGCCACCAGATCCACCTACCCCATTTTGTAACATTTTAGAATTCGACTTTATGACTTCACAATAACGTCAATAATGTATTGGCAATCCTGTTCCCAATATTTTGTTGCAGTTGTGGAAGAAGAATAGCTATTCTATTGGATGTGGTCACGGAACTAATCCTTGGTTTGGTGATCACATTCTGTGATGCAGAAGGATGGTTTCGTCTCGTGGCCTTTTTGAGGTCGCTGCTAGGAAGCGCTAGCTTCTTTATGGGACTAATACTGGGTAAGTTACTTTAAGGTCTGCTCTGATAAGAGACGACGGGAAAATAAAATAAAGATTTTAAAAAAGATAACTGTTAAAACCTTACTGCATTAATACCCGAATACTGAAACGTTACTCAATTTTAAGTCACGCTTAAGTATAGTTCTGTCTCTACAAATTCTTTGTAAAATGATAGAGATGGCACGATATTTAAGCACGACTTAAAATTGAGTAACGTTTCAGTATTCCCGCATAAGCACAGGGTACTTTTTGTCAATATCGAACCCTTATCTTAAACTGTCAAACACCAAGCGGTCACCGGTGACCGCAACCTATTGTTCTTTAAACTGTCAAACACCAAGCGGTCACCGGTGACCGCGACCTATTGTTCTTTAACTCGTCGAGTACCGGTTTTATAGACACAATTAAAGAACAATTTTTTTTTTTTTTTAACGGGGGAAAGTCATCGAATGACTGCTCCCGCCTGGGTGAGGCGGAAGGGACTGTCAGACTCTTACTGACTAAAAACCACCCCGTTCCTTCTCCTGCACGTCGAGCCGGAGCCCCGGTTACCCTTTAGGTTCTCCGCGACTCCGAATCGGCATCGGCCCTATTGGGCCCCATCTGTGGTGGTCTGATGGCTCTTTGAGGCGCGCGCTGTTTCTGGTCGGACGGGGAGCCACCCATGCTCGCCGTCCGCAGGCCCGCGCTTACGGTGGCCGGAGATCGTCCCGCGATCCCCGACGCCCGGTGTGTCCTTCGCGATGGCTGGGTTGCGAGGAGGCAGCGCTTCGCTGCCTCACGCGTCCCGCCTCCTCCTTAGCTAGCATGACTGCTTCGCAAAAGGAGGAGACGGCATCCCAGTCCCCCTCGCTCCGCATCATGGCCTGCACTAGGCCCGGACGCGAGAGGTCGCCATCGCCGATCACTTCCCTGAGGGCACGGCGGTGCTCAGCCCACGCAGGGCATTCTCCCACTGTGTGTTCCACCGTGTCCTCAGGGCGGTCCTCGCAGTGATGACACCCGGGCGTTTCCTCCCGCCCCATCAGACACAGGTACCTCCCGAAACTTCCATGTCCGGTGAGGACCTGCGTCAGGCGGTAGGTGAGGACGCCGTAGCGTCTCTCAAGCCACTCCTCAAAGAGGGGACTTACCGCTGCAATGGCAGCGAGCCCAAATTAAAGAACAATAGGTCGCGGTCACCGGTGACCGCTTGGTGTTTGACAGTTTAATTGTGTCTATAAAACCGGTACTTGACGAGTTAATTGTGTCTATAAATACGGTACTCGACGAGTTAAACTATGGTATTTCAAATAACTCACCAAAAGGACTACGAGTTGACGACACTCCATGATGAATTTGACTCGTCAGCTGAAAAAAATATCTAGTTTGAGCAGGATTTCACATTAGCTTATGTCGGTATCTAGCATTTACGAGCATACATACATATAATATGTCTGTAATTCAGGTTCTTTCCCGAAATACTAGGTTAACTGCACCCACTTGTGGCCATTTAGTGCTTCTTTATTGGTGCCGTTGCAATAGAATGACAAAGGTTAAATGTTGCTGTTAAGAATTATCAAATCAAAAGCATTAAGGACTCACAACACAAATGGTGAAAACTGGTTATTACATAGTTGAACTATCGTGTACCTCTTCGGGGATCAAAAACGTAAATATTATATTAACAACAAAGTTCAATAGTTTAGTGATCAATCAATGAATAAGACAGTCGAACTTATTATAAGTTAAATCTAGTCTATTCGTCCTTGACATTATTATGCCTTTCATATAGACCTAGTTCTTGAAACCAGTTCAAGAGATAGAACAATTTTATTGTGTAACATTTTTATTCAAATGATATACTCTTTGTCTCTTAACACCGTCTATACAAAAAACATAAATGTACTAGAATATCTTTCTTTTCTATAAACTTAATTACTAACTATAGAATTACAAAGAGACTGGGTTATGTCATTCAAGTTACAGCGGTCTCTTTAAGATCTCATCTGTGACTTGCGAGTCTAATTTCCAAGTGAAACCCGACGCCTTTCTAAGTATAGAGTTCTTCGTATTCAGTTGAGTGAGTCGCCTTTGGATCGTTACCTATGTAGATTCCTTCTGTAGACATAAATACGTATAAGTAAATAATATAAGGTAATTAAAAGAAAGGCTTGTAAAGTCTAATGCGATATATATGGTAGTGCATTCAATTAACAATTTTACTACACAATACACAAATAGTATTTTTGATTGTGTGTGTGTAATCAACAATCAGGACAGTACCTCAATTACACGATTCATTATTGTACACCAAAATAATTCAAGGACATAATAATCTTAAAACGATATTAGTAGATATTCTTATCACAAGATAGTGATCGGTTCCAGACAACTGTACTTTACACTTAAGAAACATTTGCAAGAGAAAGTTATCTTTATAGGTACCTATTAGCTCAGATTATATACCTAAGCATTTAAGCCTACTAACCTATCAATTAATACATATAGGTAATAATAGGAAGTCCTACTTATTTTTGAAAAACTCGTTCACTTACATATGTATATGACCTAAATCGACTTTAAATCGGGGGTGGTGGGTCTTTGCAAATTCCTTAAAAATCTTCCGGTGTCCCATTAGGTTTCTATTGCAAACATAAGAACGTATATAATGTCCATACTACCTGGCAACTAGAATACACGTAAAGCTGAATTAAAGGGAGGATTTTTGCCATAATTTCCACTCTTAGCAGGATAAAAGGGGATTTTGGTTTAGGTCGCCGAAAATTTTGATGATGTTGCTGCTCACTCTCCAGTGGATTGGATTGGTTGCAATTCGAGGATAAATGCGACTCCTTGATTGAATGATAATAAAAGAATTGACATCCATTAACGTTTCTTTAATTTTCCAGTTTGTGAGATAGCGAGCAACAGTTGGCGTTCATGGTTATGTGTTATAGTGATGTTCCCAAGATTGTTAGCCTTAGCATGCATGGTCCCCATAGCCAACAGTGCACCAAACACGGAAACATACAGTTTTATCTCATGCATTTACGCAGTTATATGTATGACAATCCTATTGAGGTAATAACTGATGCTATTATTTTCCTTGTAAACCATTAGCATTTTAAGTAGAAAACAAAATATGAACATATCTATAAACAGGTAACAGATTCTTAAATAAATTAAAATTTAACGACAGTCAGCTGTTGTTCCATTTTTTTTTTTTTTTTTTTTTTTAAGGGGGGAAAATCATCGAATGACTGCTCCCGCCTGGGTGAGGCGGAAGGGAGTGTCAGACTCTTACTGACTAAAAACCACCCCGTTCCTTCTCCTGCACGTCGAGCCGGAGCCCCGGTTACCCGTTAGGTTCTCCGCGACTCCGAATCGGCATCGGCCCTATTGGGCCCCATCTGTGGTGGTCTGATGGCTCTTTGAGGCGCGCGCGGAACGCGACGCGCCGTACGCTCGGGTCTGTTTCTGGTCGGACGGGGAGCCACCCATGCTCGCCGTCCGCAGGCCCGCGCTTACGGTGGCCGGAGATCGTCCCGCGATCCCCGACGCCCGGTGTGTCCTTCGCGATGGCTGGGTCGCGAGGAGGCAGCGCTTCGCTGCCTCACGCGTCCCGCCTCCTCCTTAGCTAGCATGACTGCTTCGCAAAAGGAGGAGACGGCATCCCAGTCCCCCTCGCTCCGCATCATGGCCTGCACTAGGCCCGGACGCGAGAGGTCGCCATCGCCGATCACTTCCCTGAGGGCACGGCGGTGCTCAGCCCACGCAGGGCATTCCGCTACGGTGTGTTCCACCGTGTCCTCAGGGCGGTCCTCGCAGTGATGACACCCGGGCGTTTCCTCCCCCCCATCAGACACAGGTACCTCCCGAAACTTCCATGTCCGGTGAGGACCTGCGTCAGGCGGTAGGTGGGACGCCGTAGCGTCTCTCAAGCCACTCCTCAAAGAGGGGACTTACCGCTGCAATGGCAGCGAGCCCAGCCCTCGGTTGCGACAGTCGTTGCTGCCATTCCGCCATGAGATCGCGCCGGAGCTCATCCCGCCACGCACTTATCTGGCGCGGCAGCGGAGTTTCGCCCCGGCGACGTGCCTCCGCGCGCATGTTATACACGCGCGCGAGCACCTTCGCCTCCAGATCCCACGGCGGTAATCCGGCAAGGAGGTTCGCCGACTCCCCAGCGATCGTGCGGTATCCGCGGATCATTCGGATCGCCATGACCCTCTGTGACTTGAGCAGCGTCCGAGCAGGACGCCGCAACAAGTTCGGCGCCCAAACAGGGGCGCCGTAGAGGGCCATGGACCGCACGACCCCGGCGTATAACCTCCGGCAGGAGGCGTTTGGCCCCCCGAGGTTGGGGAGGATGCGTTTGAACGCAGCCCCCGTCCTCTCCAACTTTGGAGCCAAACGTCGGAAATGCTCTATGAAGTTCCACCGACTGTCGAGGACGAGTCCTAGGTAGCTGTTGTTCCATTTGGATCCTAAAGAGACATAAGTTAAGCTAACCATAAGACTCCATTGCCGAAAATTCAGTTAAAAGTTCGGTAATCTGAAATGAATATTTCAAACAAATTAAACTTATAAATTTCAAAACAGTCAAGTGTCTTTCAACAGACATTGATCATTTCGTGTTTTGTGCGTATTAAGAAATGCATAACTATTTGGCTAGCCTCATTGTGCCGAAATGAACACTGCCAAAACTTTCGTTTCAGGTGGAGCTCCGAATCACCTCAATGGTTGTTGTATAACAGAAAAATATACATCGCAGAAATGATTCTAATAAAAGCTGCAAAAACAAACGGCATCAAACTCTGCCAGGATTTCAAGATAAGGCCTGTTAACCACAGAGTACGTCTGTAAGTTTATACTTAGTAATTAGTCTCGGATATGTACCTGATATTATTATTACAATACTTACGTAATGTTACGTCTCGTTCCAGGCGTATGACACGTTGGACGAAACCAATACATGCATCAAAATGCTATCAACGTATAACGTACGAGTTCTGTTCTTAGCATGCATTTCATTTTGGATGTTGTATTATTTTATATGGAGCTCAGTTTACGTAAGATTATATAGTAATCAGGATGTCGAATATTCATTGTTGAGAATATTATGCTTCGTCACTGTACTAGGGTGCCTGACAAAATATTCATCTGCAAAGTTGATGTTGCGATACTTACTGCTGATTCATATTTTAATAACAGGCGTTTGTACTGCAGGCAGTACGTATACGTACAAGGTGAGAAACTATAAAAATATATAAAATACTTAATATCAAATACAAATTATCTAACGATGACCATATTTGTAGAAATTTAAGTCTCGAGTTCGAGTTTAGCGCCCAAATTGGAGAAATCACTTTTTTTACCAGATAAGTTTAAAAAAAAAATGTGAAGAAGCCAAAATGCTATATAGATAGCATAATTTTGGTAGATATGCAGAAATCCAAAAACATGTATATTCACGCGACGGTGTAATAACTCCTGATGAATTATGAAGAGCAAAATTAAATACTACTGCTTGCTATTTTTGTTCAGTTTTACCCAATGCACTGGGTTACTCGACGATACGAATCTGTATTTTCTTCTATTTTTGAATTGAGAAAACTCGTTGGCTTAAGAAATACAAAAACTAACAATTATACAAGTGAAACAAGTGAAACAAGTGAAACAAGTGAATTTATTTCTGCAAACAAGTGAATTTATTTCTGCAAATAGGCTACAAGGCAGCACTTTTACACGTCAATTTTATCAAGCGAACGATGAGGTCGACATTTCCTAACTGACTACTCTGAGAAGAAATGCCGAAACAAACTCAGAGGTCTGTCTCTTTTAAAGTCCAGACAAATATGTATAAAAAGATTATGTGTGAGAACCGTGCAAGTTCTTTCTGTAGTGGCCTTTTGAGGAAAGAACCACAACAGTTTGAGCGGACCCGTTCTGAAAGCAGTACGCATGTGTCGGTTTACAGTCAGCTCAATTAACAGATGAGGCTGAGTGATTCGACGAACAATACCAACCTAAAGAACATTTGCGTGGGTCGCACAAATACTCAAACTGTCAGAGTATAAGTAAGAAATAAGAAAAGAAATGGCGAGGCAAAGTCTCGCACGGTCCTAGCACTAACAATTGTAAAAAATAGAGGTAAAAGTCAAGTTTAAAAAAAATATAAATTTTTCAAATGAAAAACAATATCACATTATGCTAATAATGTCAAATTGCATATAAAAAGAAATGTAACTATATGTTACAAACATGTCAACATGACCTGTGTGGACGTTACAGCGGCTTATTCCCAAGCCAGACTATCATCTAGGTAGTCTTTTATTTTATAAAAAGCTTTACTAAAAAGTTTATCTTTAATGACATTTTTAAATTTATTTAGACTCAAATTTTGGATATGGCTGGGAATTTTATTGTAAAAGCGTATACTCTGACATCTAAACGAACCACTTATTTTCTTTAGTCTAGTAGTGGGAACAACATATTTGTCTTTATTTCTCGTGTTGATATTATGTATATCACTATGCTTTTTAAATAAACTTTTGTTTTTATGAGCATATACTACATTTTCATAAATGTATTGAGAGGCAACAGTCATTACATTAATTTCTTTAACCTTTTGAACGCCAGAGCAAAAACGCAAGAACTTGCCCTCAACGCCAGGCCACAAATTCACCGCAAATACCTACGAAAAAAATAGGGATTCCAAAACTTCATCGATAATCAATTTTATTTTCATTTTCGTCTTTAATTTCGAAATATAATGTCCTTATAACATTGAAATTTAATTCAACATTACATTTCTTCCTATTAAAGTAATAGTTATACACTATTTACAGACTTGTATAATACCGTAATAACAGATATGAGACTACAATATATTTAAATATAATAACTGTAGGTACAACACTATTCTTGATCTGCTGTCTTCATATTGTGACCATGGCGTGGACGGCCCGCCATTTTAATAACTACTTCGCTACCGAAATAAGGATGTGGCAACGTAATATCTCGTTTATCGATGTTCTAGTACCATATTATATTATAATAAATGAAACACGTTTTTTAAATCAGATTTATAATTCCGAATGTAACAGGTACTTAAAAATATATGATTGAAATAGGTTAAGAAGGTAAATAAAAACTATGAAAAAATAGAAAATTTTAATAAAATGTTATACAGTATGTACTATGTATACATGTTTTTAAATATTAAGTTCTATAAACCTGGCATAAAAAGTAACAAATTAAAACAATTAACCATTATATATAATTATCACAGTTACCAATCAGTCTTATACTAAAAATCTTTAGAATAATAGAACAACATTATACAAAATCTGCATTGTATTATCTTATCATCTAATAGTAAGCCATATGTAAATAAAATCTAATAAAAAACTTCATTCAAAGATTCTGTTTCCGAAAATTCTTCGTCATCTGAGACTCCTTCTAATATGCGAAGAAGTTCTTCCGTAGTCATTAAATTCCCACTCATTATAATAGTCACTTAATATAAATCTTGAACTCGATATCACAAGTAAATTAATCATAAATATTATTCATTCACTTCACTAATTTCTGGTCGCCGCGCTTGTGACGTCACGATATTGTCGTCTAGTCGTGACCATGGCGTACAGGGTACTGATAATTCGGGTTGCGTTAGGGATGCGCTTGAGTTGAGATTAGTGAATATCGAAATTCGACCCAACCAAATTTTATTTTTGACTATGTAGCTTATTGAATGATTTTTAAGACTGGTTTTATAAAATTAATGCTGCTTTATCCTAGTACCAAATTATACCTAAAATAATATATTCCAGAGGAAAGTTTCGAATCGATCTTTGATTTGAAATAATGATATTATCCAACATGCGCTACATCACTAGCGGTCACGCAGTTATGACTCTGGCGTGTGAGGACATTCTTTTTTCAGAGTTTATTTCTTTCTTTTTAACGTAAAATTTCTCAATATTTATAATGCAATTTAATTAGTTTTATGGAAATAAATAAATTTTGGACCTTCTATTTTACAGGTATATAAATAAATAGGCATTAAAGTAATGTTTAAATAGTTTATTTCGTGTTTTAATGTACCGCTGTTTTTGTCACATATTTGTGTCGTTGGCGCTCAGGGACAGTTTTCGCTTGTCACGTATTTGTGACCCTGGCGCTCAAAAGGTTAAATAGTTCCCTGAGAGAGTACCTCGGACTAAGATTATAAATTGATCGAATGGCCCTCTTCTGCAAAACAAAGATAGATTGAATGTCAGCAGCATTCCCCCATAGGAGAATACCGTATGACATAACACTATGAAAATAACTAAAATATACTAATCGCGCTGTATCTACATCGGTTAAATTTCTAATTTTTTTAACGGCATATGCTGCAGAACTGAGCCTTTTCGATAACTTATCTATATGTGGAGCCCACTGGAGCTTAGCGTCTAGGGTTATACCTAAAAAGACAGCAGAATCTACAGGGCCCAACTCCTCACCCTTAATTAGTACGCTGGTATTTACATGTCTAACATTTGGCGTTGTAAATTTAATGCATTTAGTTTTAGTTTCATTTAGTAGTAGATTGTTGGCACTAAACCAATGTACTATCTTCGAGAGAGCGCTGTTTACATTATCAATGACTAATTGTCTACGTTTAAGTTTGAATAATAACGAAGTATCATCCGCAAACAGTACTATCCCGTGGTTATCCTTTACATTTTTCCTTTACAGAGCCCCATCAGCAGCTTCTTGTCGTCCATAGCATTAGGTTCAGGACTTGTTGCACATGCATTGATACTAAATATAACACCACGTCTTTTTGCAATCAACATACGAGCAACAGTGGTCGGTTGTTGCTATGCTACCGGCCAAATAGGGTCTATAATCAGCTACCTACTATTTCTGTTCCATCCACTAAGTAACATAGTTATAATGGTAATAGAATTCTGCGTTACGCTGATCCTTATTGGACTATTATTCATATTTCCCGACGTGGATCAACGGGAACTACCAGATGTTATGAAGGATATGGATTATTTCTCCGAGTAAGTATCCCAAGTTTAATTGTCATACGCAGAACAATGTTTTGATAAAATTTCGACCTTGTTAAGAATAATAATAAAGTAAAAATTTTATCAACTAATTCCTTAATGTGCTGGCGTCTGCATGTTACTTAAAGTGTATTAAATATGTTATGCCTTTCGCTATTACCCAACGTCGTGCAACAGGAATGATTATCAGTTACCCATGCTATTATTGTTATCTTAAAAGGAACATGTTTTTTTAATAATACAAATATTATTATGATGCTTGAACAATACAATAAAACATGTTTCGTGACTCATTTTATCAGTACCTAGTACCTACATTATTTTTTAATATTTGTTATAGATTATCAAAACCACTGCGATGGGTTTCTCAAAAGACCACTTCACCATCGTTGGAGGAGGTGGAAATGAGAGTGCATTCTTTTGGGAGCACTGCTTATCGTGCTTCTACGTCTAATGCCTCTGAAGTATTCGCTCCTGCACAGCGAATAGGCTTCGTCAGACTATGGAGAGTTTTCATCAACTACGTACGTCGAAAGTGTTGCAGAAAAATAAACCCAAATATAAGTTAAAATATTAAAATTTATTATTCAGTAACTTAACAAACATTAAAAATGTACATTGCAATTATATTTTATTTCTTAATGGTAATCATCGTGTCCTTTTTGCACAAATTAATAAAATTAAATAGGAAACATTTGAGGATTATGACATTAACAATTAATAAACACAGAAGGCATAAAAATATTTAAAATATGGTAAATAATTTTTAAGTATACATAAAAAGCTCTTCGAGATAACATCGTACCTACGTACTATAACAGTATTGTTACAGTATGTAGATATGGTGCAGTACTCACGAATATAAAAAATCGTGAGTAACATTATCACTCATTATAATAATAAAAAGTATTTTTATATTACATTTACATAGGCAACAGGTGTATTTTCATTTTTAAATGTATAATAAATAATAAGGAAAATTCCATTTTCGAATAAATACATATTTTACACAGGGAAAATCATTAAATAATAATAATTCAACTACATTAAGATATCAGCATACCCAGTAAAGCCTGCTAATAGACGGCGAGCAGTTGAATATTAATGTGGAATACCTAAGCATTGCACATAGATACTTGCAAAATGGTTGCACATAATTATTTTTAAACATCCACTTCCTAGTTATACTCAATCAATGTACGAAATACACGGTTATGTCTATAGCAAACTTTACAAAATGTCAGTTTGTGAGGCTACCATCAGACGGACTGTTGTAAGTATCCAGTCCTTATATTCAACTTCATGCAGTTGAACAATAGGTAAGAGGGAACCGCAAACGGGTTCTCAATAGACTTGCTGCGATACTACGTTAGCAGTTGACTGTGAAGTTGAAATTTCAACTGGTAGGTGATATATTCTCACTTCTCACAACTACAGGCGACCACGTAAAGTTCATTACATGAGTTAAAGACTGCGCGCAGCTGAATGTACCGAAAGCGTGCGGTTGCTGCAATACAGGTCGTCTGATGACAGCCTATGGTTCGTTAGGTATTAAAATTATTTGATTACTGAGATGAAATCCTCTACAAAAATACATCGCCTCACACAATATGATAAATAAAATATTATTAGGATTCTAAGTTTGCTTATAAAGTTTCAAAGATGATATCTTAGCGACTCTATTAGCAGATAACGTATAAAATATAATTTAATATTACAAATGCATAATTAAAAAGAATAAAATAGGCAGTAATTTAAACATTTAATTAAGTAAAAATAATCTTAAATCGAGGTAGGAACACGAATTCTAACTAATATATGAATAAATATAATTTTAAAGGGTCTAGTTCTGGGTAATATAATATAAAGTTGTGAACGTGCATAGTAAGTTCATATGAAATAGTATATTCATGTTTAGGTACACCGTTCTTAGGTTTATTTCGAGAAATTCAGAGATAAAAAAGAAATTTGCAGCAAGAAATGCAAAATTATATTAAAAATCTATATATCTGGTGATACAAAATATATATTCTACGGAAGATTTGGTAAAATACTATCTACAATAATGTACCTTGGGACTAAACTTTCTTAACACCCTGTATACGTTTCCATTCTGATCAAATCCCTCTTTATCAAACTACGCCCCCGCTACTAATTCAAAAATATAGTTAAAGATATTTTTTATTATATTTTGGTAGTCATTAATTCTGCAATATTGTATAGGGAAATAGGGTCAACAATTACTGCTATGTACTATTTTAAATTGTACACAATATAAAACTAAAATTGTATTACCATTGCACAAATATAGACTATATAGTCAGTAAGAAATAAGTCTTAATTTTAAAAATTGTTAATTTAATTCAAACAGATAACATTGTGTCTGTTTTGAATTGGATTACTTGTATTTATATGTAACTAAACACCTATGTGTTTAGTAGTAAATTTTCGCTATCTTCCTATGTAGATAAGCGAAAATTTGCAAGTAATTTTGTATTCATTTGCGATTGATTAAAGCATCAAATCAAATAGGCATTATTTATTTATTATTGCAAATATAAATAATTTAGTCTGTACTTTTAACAAAGAAAAATCAATTACCTAATATCAGATTACACCTAAATGTCCAATAAAATATAATTCAAATGAAAACTTTTTATAAATATAATATATATTTATATGTAACAGTAGATATATATGTATATATAAAGGCCTGTAGACGAGGGACTTTTGCGTCAGTTGAGCACAAAAATCTATTTAGTATTTTTAAGAAAATCCACCGAGATTTTGACTTAACTGCATCATAGGATACATTTTTTGTCAATATATACATCTTATTCATTATGTTTTACAACGTACGTAACTGTTTGACGAGATAACTCGACTAGTTTCGAGTTACGGAGGGACTTATAGCCATGATTTGCTATTTTTTTTTTTTAATAAATTTATTTAGAGGAATTTTACAAAGGAGTGGAACCTTAAATCTAAACTCGCCGAACTTCAACTTTTTAACTCGCATAGCGGTATAAAAGTATCCCATGATGCAAATCAAGTGAGATGAGCAAAAGTATCTCGTCTTTGTACTGTACTCCCTAATGAAGTAGTAACTATAGATAAATTACTAATATGATTTGTATTAAAACATTAACAATGATTATGAATTATCACAGAGCTTTTGAATGACGATATAGATTTTATGTATGTACTATCTACTACTCTATTCACATAATATAATTTGACCTTTATAAGGTAAAAAAGGAACTGACCTCGCAAAAATGTTATTTAGTTTGAAAATACGCAATAATACGCATATTGGTAAATCATTTTTGAAATGTCAACTCCAAAACAGGAAAATTTAATCAATGGCTTGTAGCTATGTAAATATGACGTAAAACATAGTGATTTGTTATAAATATTATACCAAATTAATTTATATGAACTTTATTTGAATTCGTAGGTAAGTATATTAAAATGTTCGAATGAAGAGATTCTCATTATAAAATATAAAGACCTGCCTTTTACTGAAACCTTAACAAGTTTATTGTTTTCCTAATTTTTTTTGGAAACCCAGTCATTGCTTCTTATTTTGGTATAGGTCAATTTAGTAAATCTTTGATAATCAATCACAATCACAACCAATTTTTTAAAATGCTTCGAATATTGACGTTTCTAAAATGCAAATATTTCAGTAAATACGACCAAGTCTTTGTGGGTTTGTTGTAAAACTTTTTATTTCAATTGCCATAAGCTAATAAACTGTGTGTCCGTTCTTATCTGCACCTTACAAACGAATGAAAAAAAAATGAAAGATTTTACTTTATAAGTGATATCTAAATGAAAACGAATCACTTGAGGTTAATTTATGATCATCCTTTTTGATTAAATTATCAATTAAGAAAGACCTTGGGTTGAAAGAAAAACTGTTGACAATAATGTTTCATGCGACTGTTTCGTTACACGGATAAAAAGAAATCAATAAATAATTTTATCTTCTTACGTTTTCAAAAAGCATTAACTTTAATACCGTATGCTCAAATATTTCGCTTCCACTTATTATCCTCATCAACCTCTCTAAGGTTACGTCCAAAAGGTAGGTTACATTTTCACAAAATGTAAGCAATTCCAATTTGTCTCAAATTTTAATATTACGACAGCTGTTATTAGTCAAGTCATGTGCTAAGTAATTATTTAGTTCGTTGTGTTTGGGTGCAAGCTATAGATCCAAAGTCACTTTACAAATTAAACGATAAAACAGTAAGGTATTCGTGTTTTGGTAATGCCAAAATATCACTGACAAATTCAGAAATTTAAACTACCACTACAAATAAGAGCACAACATTAAGGTAATTTATTTAAACATTTTAAAACTAAACTAGGAACTTCCAACGGTAACCATGTAAGTGCAAAACGTACATAGCATACATATAATGCGATATATTTAGTTTTAAATGCCTTTACAGAACTTTTTAACGCTAAACTTATAACTAATCAAGCATACATACGCAATTAACAATAACTTATGAGAATAGTTTAAAGTCTATTTTAATTATTTCAGCTGCGCATTAACATGTTAATGTCTGGTAATGCGAATTGTGCGCATTCGCTAACAGTACACTATAACTTAACGGCCAATAAGGCAAATTTAATTTTGGTGTAAAAAATTGACGAAAATATGACAATGATTAAACTCGTAAGATATTGACTCTACTCTATGAAATAAGAACATCTACTCGATATTATATATCGAATAGATTCCACTACTTACATAGATTGGTGCACAAACAACTACCCTTTTTAAAGGTTGCAGTTACGACTGGAAAGTGTACGAGCAGTTTTCAAAAACTGGAGTCCTTATTTTTCACACGTAGATAATGCTTTTAAGCACTGTTTCCTGAACAAATCACATCAAACTTCGTTATAAATTCGTCTGTTGGTTTGCATCTCCATTACTAAGTAACAGGCTTGGTGATTTTTCTGTAATCAACACAAATGATTTCTAATAAACATAAGACAAAAAAAAAGTAAAAGTAAGGTCAAGAACGAATAAGTTGCGTATTAGAATAATTAAAGCTGGTTTTCGAACTCACCTATATGTACAGAAACTGGACGAACAGAGATACCATTTGTATTAATTGATTCTTCGTTTAAAGGAACTCGTTGCAAACGAATAGCAAACATTAAAGTTGCGCCGACCAGAGGCGATATACCAGCGAGGACGAATGGCAAAGTGTATGATTTATTGATACTGTAAAGATAGCCAGCTATGGGCGGTCCGACTGATAAGGGGGCAGCAGCAAGTCCTAACATGCAACCTATTGCTTGCGCCGCGTAAGCACCACCGCACAATTCAAATGCTATGGGTCCGATTAACGCAATGAATGCGCCATCGAATATTCCCATACCTAAAGCAATCGCTACCAATATGCCGAACTTGTTAACAAATGGCAAAATAATCGTTAACACCCCAATGACGTAGAATGAGATTTGCTGTAACAAGATTCGGTCAACACCGGGTTTGTCAGCTAAGAAGCCAAATATTAATCTTCCCAGACCTGATGTAACAGCAATACATTGCAAAGGTAGATTGGTATTGACATTGTCGAAGTTGTTCTCGATAAACTTTTTGATATGCACGTATGGAACAAAATACCCAAATAGTGCGACAGGCATGGATAGAGCCCAAAATCTATACTTCTTATTCTTCCAGATTTGAATGTTTACAATTGATTTTAATAAAGATTTCAAGCTATCGTCTTCCCTTGACGTTTTCGTAACCATCGATGGAGTTGGTTTGAAAATAAAACCACATACTGCCGTGCCCAATGTAAAGACAGCTAAGAGTCTAAGCAACCAATCTAATCCATGGTGCTTTATCATATATTCCATTAGGGGTGGCATAATCACAGTAAAAATAGAACTACCTACAGTTACAACTCCATTTACTAAACCTAAATGCTTTTTGAAGTAATGCCCAAGGATAGCCAAAGAGGGAGTGTAGGCAAACGATGCGCCTAATCCATACATTATACCATAGGTGAAATAGAGGACTCCTACATTGTATACGAAAAAGGAAGACAAAAGCATTGCAGCTGTTGCAATTGTGCCACCCAACACTGCGGTTAAACGGATACCTAACACGCCAGTCAATACGCCAGACAGGGGCGAGAGGAAAAACGTAGTGCCCATGGTAAGAGCGCCCACCAGAGCTGAAAAAGAAAAGTTCAGTGTTAAACAAATCAAAGTAAACAAATATCTATTAAGAGCGGATCGCTGATCGGTGAGAGTAAGAGAATTTCATTTGAGAAATGTACTTTGACTAGTTACTACTACGCCATCGGCGCCAATGTTTTAAACCAACAACGAACATATAAAATTTTCTTCTTTTGGTTGACAGTTAAAGACATGAGCTGAATCAATTTGTAGTAAACTTAATTGTGCGCAGTAGACTGTAGAATATAATGCCAATTAAAAGCGTGCGTAGAATTCTAACATTATCGGATGGAGACTGTCTATGGTACGCTATTAACTTCGACTAGTAGGTACTAGACTAGTTTTTCTGTTTGATCTTCTTTAACAGTTTGATTGGTCCGATTACACAATTGGCGACAATTTGCAACGTCGTCAATTATTCACATCACAACATAAATCTAGAAACTGACCAAGCGCTTGACTAAGTGACCACATTTCCTCGAAACGGATCTCACCTATCACTTGAATCTAGGGCATGTTAGAGTGTCGTGTTTGGTTTATTAAATAACATAATTTCGTCATTACGAATCGTTATTATTGATCTTTATTTTCTTGTTCCTAAGTAACTTTTTTGTAAATAAGGTAATCTTTGTTTTTTATGAATGGATATAGTTAGATACATCTTGAAAACAATACGTAACGAATTATGTATCTTTGTTGAATATTTAATTTTACGAAAGATATGATTCGGGGTAATCGCTGTACTCGGGGCAGAGGTTAGCAACCGGCAGCTAGTGTACAATACAATAAGTACTACAACAGCCAATTCCCCTTAATTCAATCAACATCATCGCAACGTTTGCGTGTTGGTAATGAAGGAAAACCTAGTTATCAACCACTACTCCAAATGAAGAACTCGGTCAGTCAACTCTTTTACTTGGCTGGCTGAATGGGCAATGAGCAGTACCTATCTGCTAAATGTAGCAGTTTTACTAAATCTTAATTTTCGCAATCAACCAATAAAATCTTATTTTGCATTTATTCATACTTGTGTTAATAAATGGTAAGGATACATTAAATAATAGGAATTTATTTTATGAAATTGCAAGAAAAAGATAAATCCTGACCCGGTTTGTTTTGTGTGTCAGATTCAAGGAAAATATTTAGATTTGTTTTCCACCATCTGGCGTAGATTTAATTTCGAGATCATATTGGATGAAGCGTAGATAAATAGATCTAAATGATTCTTAGTACGGAAAAGATTAGATTACAAGTCAATATTTATCAAGAGACAATGATGGAGTGCTACTAAATCTAGAATTCTGAATATATACGTCGAACTGGTAGTTACAACAAGTCTACGTGTATGTCCATCAGTCAACGTGGAGTCGAAAAATCTAAATATAACAAGCAGTCAAAGTTGACAAGTGACACACAATGTCTCGTAATCTAATCGGGTCATCACCACACCAGCCGCAGTACGCGGGATATGATGCTTTTGTCTGCACTAGCACTGTGTACCGTGCATGAAGCGATGGACCCGAATAAAAATACTAAATAATCAGTATTTTAATCCTCATTTACATTTTTATGAACAGTATCTAATTAATAAATTATTATTTTTTCGGCTTACTCACGTAATTATTTGACGAGGAACTCGACTGCTGCTTATGCGAGCCTCTAGCATGGCTTGAAACTAGTCGAATCCCTCGTGAAATAATTACGTGAGTAAGCCGAAAAAATAATAATAATATATTTAGTATGTCTCACGAAAGTTACAATACAAGTATCTAATTAATGTAACTTATCTAATAATTCTAATTTTATAGCATTTTTTACTATTTTCAATCGATGTATTAGTAATTTTTTTTATGTAAAATAGGTAGATAACGAAAAATAATACGCCTAATGGCATACTTAATTTTTATTTTTGCTTACTGACTAAATTTCAGTCGTTTTTAATCTAACTACCTATAGCCATTAAATTTTGGGTTCATTGGCTAGTCACCAATGAAAGAAGTCTATCATTTTTAAATTGCTGTGCGACATAATGTTCCGTCGTAATTAATATTCATAGATATTCTTTGTCGGAATACTAATATAACTGAACTATTGATTTGGGTAAGCGGTTAAATTATTGCAATGACGACGAGTCAAAAGAATGATGAAATTGAATGTAATGAAGTGATGGCCTTCGATGCGGGCGCCAGCCGTCCCGCCCGCCACGTGCGCTCCGTTTGGCGCCACATGACAATCTGGCCTATTAACTATCAAGTACCTACCTACCGGAGTTATGTTTCAGGTGAAACACTAGATTTACATATCAAAACATGTTACTATCGAATTCAAGTAAATACTTGAATTGCGTAAAACATAAATAATAATGTCAATATTACCTACGTATTACGATACAGATACATAATAAATGGTAAGCACCGTTTTCTTTTTTAATTTTTCCTGTTCCGATTCTAATTTACTATAGATATAGGATCGTAATGTTTCTATTAGCAGGTAAAATGTAAAAAAATAATGTTACCATCGACAATGACGTAATGAACAACATAAATTACAGTGACCTATTTTATCGATTCTGTCTGTCGGTAAAATAAATTATTTCTGACTAATTAAGGAAGTATTTGATAGGATAAGAGTTACAAGACTGCTTGATTAAACTTTAATAAAGTCAGCTGTCCAATTTGCATTCAGGATGTTTTCAATTTACTTCTGAAGTAGGTACTTGGAAGGTTCATTTCCCTTCTGTAGCTTGACCTAAAAAAACTAAGTAAGCAATGATTCATTTTTTATCAAATGCGTAAATATTGATTGATAAAAGGTTGTTATTTGGTACAAAAATATTGATTTCCCGGTAAAACATAAATATGGGTTAAACCAAGAATAAGTACCTGCATTATCTACAGCGGTATGAAACTAACAGAGTGCCAATATTTATCAGTTTATTTATGAATATTTAAATAACAACAGGAAGTCTAACAATGGTGCATTAATTTGTAACTGAACAGAGTAATACTAACTGATGATTAGACATATAAGCCGGTCGGTAAATCATTTTCTTATAAGAAAGAAACAATAATATCTCTAGTAACATATTTAGATCAGTAGTAAGTCTAATATATTCCATTGTTTCTACTTTGAAACAATATTTACAGTACCTACATTGATTATTAAAATTAATTAATTAATCAAACAGCATAAATTCTATACAATATCATTTGTTACATGATAGTTATTGTATATATTTCTGTATTCTATAGTATATACAGATACCAGTTATGATAACCCTTCAAGTCCTCAGCATGACCACAAACATATTAATGTGATAAGAGCATAATGAAATGCAGATGTTTAATGTTCTGATTTTGAATAAACGGCATAAATATTTTATATTTTTTGTCTACATTGTTACAAGGGCTATTAGCATTTAAATGGGAGTTCACTCACATCGAAAAGGAAGTTGTAATTTTACATATGTGTGGTACTTAAGTACAATATTCAATAAATTATTTTTTTCAATTCTTTATGTTTATATTATTCAGTTCACACTAAATGTGCAACAAAAAATACTTTATAAGAATTCACAAAATGATAATAATGGGTTTTCATTAAGTTTTTGTTTTTTAATTATTATGTTTTAGTGGGGCGGGATATTTAGCAAAAATGACCAACTAGGGTACAATATAATATTTACCAGTTTATTTTCTCTAGTAAGAAAAAACTGGAAATAATTTTAAATGAGAAAAATATAATAATAGAAAATATTTGTTAAGGGACAACATACTATGGATTCATTTTAGATAGCTATGGTTAACAAGTTTAGACATGCAAGTTCGATATGAAATTCGACACGGCGTTTCGAATGACGAAACACCTAAACTAGCAGAGTAAGAAAAATAAATGCATAAAAGTACTCACCAGCGCGACTTTCTGAGTTAGAGATTCCTTCATCTTTTAAATGTTTTTCAAGGACCGTGTATATCACACTGTATGAATTAATTACGCCGAAAAAAAGGCCATTTGTAAGGAACGATGCAACCATGACCGAGTAGGCCCGTACACCGCCATCCGGAGGATCTTTGTAGTCTTCATTTTTTAAATTACCATTGGTCGTAACTTTATTCCTTGCTTTAAGCAAGTCTGAATTCTCTTTCGGCTCTAATGCCATCTTGCAGTTATATAAATTGACAGACTTGTAAATATACGATTCTGCTTCACAAGCACATGGTGCTCTTTTCTGTATATTACTTTTTTAAAGGCTCGCACTATAATGCTTATTTAAGTCTCATCGAATATATCAAACAATTATTTAAGCTACGTTACTCGTTTGTTATTTTATTTAACGATTCTTATCTTAGAATATTATCGTAAAATTTAAACTCTCAACAAACCCTACAACCTAAACAACAGGCGTTCGTTGACTGATCGTGTTGTGACTTTTTAGTTGACTTTTTGTAGACAGACAGTTGACACATAATTTGATAGTTTGATACTTTGACAGTTATTTTTTTAATACATTGGATACTTACTATTTCAATAGAGATCAAATACCAAATAAATAAGTCGCAGTTTGATTTAATTGCCGGGAAAAAAAAATTATGTTACGGTCTGCTAAAAGTTACGGCTCACATAATCTTTATATTAGATGAGTCAGACAAAGAATAAAGCGAATAAAGTATCAATACAAATGGAAAATTGGAAAGTACATATAGTGTCAGCTATTCTCCAATTATAAAAGCTAAAATAATAAATCTTAGGCCACGTTTCTATAAGTCAAAGTAGGTGTCTTTGCAAATAAATAATCTTTGTCTTTTCCAGGATCATTACATTTTCAAAAAAACACTGGCCTTGTAACGAAATGTTGCTACATTTCGTCTGACATTACACCACCACTTCACAAATGCAATATCTAGTTGCAATATAATAGTTTTAAAATGAAAGAGAGGTATTTCCGGTCAAGTCAAGCAGAATCATTTGTTGCACATAGCTTAGAAATCAAATATGTAGAGTCATTGTTTAATGTGGCCTCCCAAAAATATTTTGATAGTGTTATCTGTACATCTAACACTGATCTCTAACAATTGCACATTGAATTTTTAATCAATACATAGCTTCCACTTCTACAACCAACCAACCAAGCCTGTAAATTTTTCATTTGAAATAATAAAAGTTTTAAAAGCAGGTATTTTATTATCTAGAAGTAATCTAATCGATGTTTTATATACATGCGTGTTTAATTAACTTAAATTGCTTATTGAACAGCCATGAATTCTGTGTTCAATATTTGCTCTCAACAGTATTGTTAAACTTTTTGTATAATATTGTATTCAGTAAAAATAAACATCATTTCTCATTACTGAATACAAAAAAAGACTAGCCAACTATGAGGAAAAACTTAAGCAATAAGCATAACAAAAGATTACATTTTGTAGTAAAGTTTAGCACATCAAACGATGTTGAGCAGCCTAGCAATTACATAGTACATTACACATTTTGTTCAAAAACATCTTTGCTTTTAGTGTCCAACAGTGGGAAATAAGCTTTAACAAACAAGGAAGAAAATATATGTTATCTACACAAATTCTTGAGAACTTTAAATAAACGAATTTGTATTCATAATAGATATAGAAAAATATTTTATTTAGGTCTACCATAAATATTTGCATATTTTGATGTTAATATACAGCAAAATTAATACGAATTAATAAGCAGCACTACCTTAAAATTTAGTTATTATTTTTTCACACAATGGCTGTATAGGAAGACAGTATGACTGGCCTTTCAACAGAAACATTTCAAATATGAATATCAGAAATTTAATACATTATAATATAAATTATTGAGTGCAAAATGCTGTAGGTGTAATGTTATTATTGTAAAACATTAATTAGCTAGATGCTTTGGCAGCCTGGCGCCTCTTAACATCCCAGTTGTAAACTCTTGCCATATTTACTTCTGTTGTTGTCCACTGGTCTCTGTAACATGGGAATTAATATCACATTACTTTATTCCTCTATCATCACTGCCAAATCAGATAATTAAGTAAAGATATTTGTTTTCAAATGTTTTATCAATATATAAATAAATGAACAATACTAAAGAACTTTTTAAAGTGACCCAAAATATGTTATTAACTCGTCAAGTACTGGTTTTATAGACACAATTAAAGAACAATAGGTCGCGGTCACCGGTGACCGCTTGGTGTTTGACAGATTAAGCCTTTGAGTACCGTCATTATAGACACAATTAAACAACAATAGGTTGCAGTCGCTGGTGTCCTCATGGTGTTTGACGGTTTAAATTGTTTAACACCAAAGAACAAATTTCCCTTTCAAGAAATAGGGGACAAATGATTAAAGTGATCGACACCACCCACATAAGAGGAGTATGTTCTTTTTTTTAATGACATTGAATTCACTAAACCATTTAAATTTAATTACCTTAGGAAATCTAAATCATGCTCCACACAAGCTAGATTCTTCTTAGCAGTAGCCATATTTGATGATAGTAGCTTTTCAGCATCTTCTAATGTATATTCTAACATTACATTTGCACCAAGCCACAAATATACTTTTTCAGTGGGTGGTACATTTGCCTGAAAGTTTATTTAAACAACAATGAAAATAAATAAATAATGAAATTATTAAAATGTTTAAAGGTCTTAATGTTAATTATTACCTTAACAAATACTTGATCACTAAGCAGAAACTCTGTTTGCATTTCCTCTTTTTGGGTTTTAAGCTTCTCAATCATTTCCAAAGAACGAGCCAGATCAGGTATCTGTTGCCTGAGTCGCCTACGTTTTGTTGCCAGTGACATCTCCATGTGTTTGTATTTTGAATGTTGTTCATCAAGACTCTTCAAAACTACGTCCACCCCACCAGCATTTTCAGGCTTGCTCATAAACTCATCTACATTATCCTGTAAGAGTAAATATTGTAAATAAATAAAGTTCTTAATAATAAACAAATAATAAGTTTACAAGTATAAACCCTCTATGTATATCACAGAAAGTAAACAAAATGTGTGGTAAAGGGTTTCTAGTGTGATTGAATTTTTCATAGGTTAGTAATTTTATATTGGTTACAAAAAAGGGAAGAGCATGTAATTGACGTTTCATAATTAAAGTAGAGTTATTTATAATAACTTACAACAAATACTGCCTCTGGTATTCCAGAATATGTCTTAGGAGTATCCGATTTATCACCTTCCATTTTTCAAGTTTTGCTCAGTGAGTTTTAATTGGGAACTGAAAATATTAATAAAACATTATTTTTTATCACTGTCTACATAGATTGAGTAGTAGTGTGTTAAGTTTTGGCTTACAATAACTCTTAAATTCCTTTTATTATTTCACATAAGGCACCCCACAACAACGAAAATTCCGAAAATCTCAATCTCAAATCGGCATTCTGCAAAACTCGAGTAGTTCTCCATAGACTAGAGAGAGAGAAAAGTACGAAAAGAAACTTCATGGAAACTTCATAGACAATGACTGAATGACCGAATAACTATAGGCAAAAAAAAATAAAACATGTCTGTGGTTTCATTTCACAATGACGTGAAACGTGTAAGAATTATTTGACAGCTGACGTTACGTGTCACCCGTGTCAGACACGTTCATTTCCATTATTTATATGTATAAGGCGAAAATTGATTTAAAAAATAGATTTTTTCATTCATCTTACAATTTATTTATAAAACTAAAACTTTAACAATACATATTTACTATAAACATGGCACCGTCAACTGATTGGGATGAGATAAAAAGATTAGCAGCAGACTTTCAAAAAGCTCAACTTACTTCTACGTCTTTAAGGTAAGGAAATTATTAAATGTCCCAATAAAATACGCTTAATAATACAAATTGAGAAACACTTTAGACCTAATAACTTGTGATTTGGAAATTCTTTTAGAAAATGAGTATACAGTTGATTAATTTCTTGATGGACTGAAAGTACAATATGCTCAGCTGACTGAACTAGAATCTCATTACCATTCCCTATTACGTACCTGAATACGATTGCACACCCTTTGCTACACTCTGACCATTTTTTTTTTGTTTTTAGATTATCTGAAAGAAACTGCATTGAAATTGTCACAAAATTAATTGAATTAAAGTTGATTGATGTTATTTTTACTACTGATGGAAAAGAATATTTAACTCCTCAGCAACTTATAAAAGAAATTAAGGATGAACTGTATGTTCATGGTGGGCGGATCAATACAGTTGATGTTGCCAAAGAGCTAAATGTAGATCTCAGTCAGATCAACAACTATGTCTCAGAAATCATCAAAGGAAAGGAGGTGCAGCTGGTTTCCGGCTATCTAATAGCTCATTATTACTTAGAAAAGGTTGCAAGAGAAGTGAATGAAAAACTACAGCTTCAAGGTCAAATATCAGTTGGAGAATTATCTTTGCAGTATGACCTCCCAGCAGAATTACTGCAGCACAATGTTTTGGAGAAATATCTTGGCAAAATAATTTTTGGGAAGCAAGACCCATCTGAACCAAGGACTTTCTACACAGAGGAATACATAACAAGGACCAAGGCTAAAATCCGTGGTGCTTTGATGGGTTTGCTGAAGCCAACCCCAGTTGCTGTAATTGTAAATCACTGCAATTTGACTGATCGCTTGTTCTCTTCTCTATATGATCAACTTAATGCTCCTGGGGTACTCACTGGTCGCCAAGCTGGAGCTCTGTATGTGCCATCATGTTACACAAAATCTCAAAATGACTGGGTCATGAGTTTTTACAAACAAAATAATTATTTGGAATATGATGCTCTTTCCCGTCTAGGGATATCTGACCCCAAAGGATATGTGAAGCGTATTCTGACAAATGAAGATTTAACTTTCCTTAGTAGCTGTGTTATTGGTTCACAAATCAAGCAACAGTTAGAAACAGCTTTGGAAGAATGCATAGCATCTAGGAGTTATTTGGATGTTGTAACTTTGTTGCCATCTGTTTTGACAGACACAGACATAGAAAATGTTCTTGATGAACTTTTGAAAAAGTCAAAATCAACAATATTGTTTGACAATACAGGTAAATATTTTAAATTCTTAATCTTTGAAAGATATGACATTAAAACTTTTGTTTAATATAAAAATTTTTTGCTTCAGTTTTTAGCAACCACTATATTGAAACTTTGAAGCAAGCTTGCATGCCATTGACACAGCAAAAAGCAGAAAGTGTTGTGAAATCAGGTGTATACCAACAGTTCCATATGGAAAAACAAATCAATAAAGCTGCTGAGTTTGCTCAAACATCACATGTAGACCACAAAGCAGAGAGACGTGAGGAGCGTAGAAGGAAAGCTGCTTCAGGAAAGGGTGGTGGTGGAACTCAAGGAAGGGAAACTAAAACGAAGGCAGTGAAAAAACATGCAAGAGGAAAGCAGAATACTCACGACTCTGACTCTGATGAGGGTCCAAGTGTCACTAAAAAGTCACAGGCACAGTTGGAAATCATTAGTGTTGATGATGTTGAAAATGTCATCAAACAAACTTTAGAGAATGAAGGTTTAGAAGACTTGGTGACTCGCATAGCTGAACACTTACAAGGGTAACATTATTTGTGTCTGTTCAATATAAAACATCTATATTAGTTAAAAAATGTAGTAAATCTTTTGTAATTTAACAAATATAAGTAATAGTTATATTTTTGTTTCCAGAGGACTTAACCAAATTGGCTTAACAATAGCTAAAGAAACTGCTGATAAGTTGCTTCAAGATGCTAGTCAAAACAGAAAACAAACTCACACCTCTGCACAGGATAAAATCAACATATTGGTTAATGATATCAAACTTTATGAAAAAGGTCTTAAATCATTCCCTGCAGATCAGCAACCTCAGTTTATCAAATACTTGTTAAAATCACTAGGAGGTGATGTACTTGCAGAGTTGTGTAAATATGCAGCAAACCAATGCAATATCTCTGTGCAAGGTGAAGTGTTGACAGTTGAACAGAGAAACAAAATAATCAATGATTTACCTGATGAATTTATGAAGCCATTAGTTTCATTGAATGGGACATTGTCTGAACAAAATATGGAATCATTCTTTCAAGCAATTGATGCCTGCCTATCTGAGTTTGGTATGATTTTGAAGAAGGTTGATAAGAAAAAAGATAAGTGAGTGTTCACAATATTATGAAGTGTAATTTGGTAATAAATAGTATTTTAAAAATATCAATAATGAGTAATCTAATTAAATTTTCAGATTGCTAGTTCAAAATCACAGGGAAAAGTTAATTTCTGAACTAGAAACTTGCGAGGATCCAGCTTTAAGTTTGCATATGGCAGTGTTGGCTATTTTTACGATTGTTACACAAAACATGTTGCATGCCTCTGGTCGTCAAGTACCCATTATTATATCATATTTGAAAACTCAGCTTAAAGAAGATGACTATGAGCGACTCCAATTATGGCATGGTAAGTAGTTAGATTTATGGTCAAAGTTTAGAACTTGTGTTGGTGTAGCAAACCTTAATCTTAATCTTATAGCAATATGACAAATTCTTTGGGTAGATAATCGAACTCGTTCAATTTTGCTTATTTCAGAGTTAGTTTCAAAATTTTTGACATCAACCGATGACGAAAAAACTGAAGTCGAGGAGAAACTCCTTCAAGAGCTACCTTTATTGAAAACTATGGTGCAAGAGATTAAAAAATACAAGTGAAAAGCAAGGAGAATTAACATTTTTTTTGAAATGGATGTATGTAAATAAAGGAAAGGGTTTGGAACAGTCCTGAATACATATTTTATTTAAGTGTATATTCTGAAGTGTTTTTATTTAATTCCTGTATAACATCATCTTTCATATTAAGTTTTATCGGAATAATAGTAATTTCTTAAAATATTTATAAATAATCTTCTCTAGCCATCGATTTGTTTGTAACATCGTTTAATTGGAGGCAAATGTATGTAACTTAAGCTAAATAGAGCACCTACGATCATTATCTACACTCTTTTTTTCCAATGTGATGTGCAGAAACATTGGTTTACGTACTTTCTTATGTACGGGATTTTTTTTTATAACTATCGTGAGACATACTAAGTTAATTAAAAATCGCGAGTTACTCACGTAAATAAATATAGAGAAAAGCTCTACTAGTTTCGAACCACAGAGAGGATCTTCTTCATGAGCGTGCGCGGTCGTGGTGATGTCACGCAGTCTACTCGAAAGTAGTAGAGCTTTTTTAGAAGAATTTATAAATTGTGATTAATAATAATTACAATAACAAAATTCCAAACGCACTGCATGACGCGGGAAATGAACCCACAAGACGCACAGCAACCGATCACTCAGTCACCATCTGTAGAATGTAGGATAAATAATGGCGAGTCCATATTACTATACTGCACATTAATATGCACTAATATTATTTTTAAATAAATCCTTTTTTATTAACAAAACTAATAACTATACATTGCATTCGTGTGCCTGATCATTATTAAGATTTTGAGTAACTTTGAAAAAAATTGTCATAGACTCTATGGTTGAGAGATACCAGAGAGAATTGAATGAGTTATTTTTAGTAATGAATGAATGACAGTGAGTGATACCAACTGTAATTTCGTTTTGACATTGACATTATTGACGTCTGATTCTAGACTTCTCATCGTATTGTTAAACTCCATTTACTCCATTGCGATTAATTGCTACGAAATATCTTTCTAAAACAAACATCTACTTCAGCTTCAATCCGCTGTAAGTAAACATGAATGTTCAGGAGTAAATGATTGAGTAGATTGAGTGTATAAAACGATATTATTGTTTGCAGACCCAACCTTCGCTGGAGGCTACGCCCTGTTTTGCATTTCCGAGTTTTCCTTTTACGTTCAACATAGGCCTATCAGATACCGCCGTTATGGACATGATGGTTTCAACATTGCAACAGCAGCGGGCTGTAACAGAACAATTGAGACGAGAAGCTGCAATAAAACGCGTTCCCGTCTCAGTGGTTGTATCTGACATTGTCAAATACATCAACGAACATGAACAAGAGGATTGCTTGCTCGTTGGATTTTCCAGTCAGAAAGTCAATCCATTCCGCGAGAAAAGTTCCTGCACTGTTTTGTAAAGTAATCAACATCAATACTATCTGCAAATACATATAATATGGTTGAAGATATGCTTCATATAGGTATTATTTCTTGATTATTAAACTTTATTGTTAAGTGTAACAATGTAGTCAATGTAATCTAAACTTGAATAAATGTATTTATTTATCTCTTTTGAGCAGCAGTGTTTATTCAAAATGTTACTGGTTTCATTAACACTACATTATTGTGTATGTAATTATTAAGTTACTGTTTCATTTATACTGTCGGGAAAATAAATGATGTGACTCAATTTCCATAATATTTTTATTTGTGCACAGTAAACTGAATTCCAATTCCTCTATAAGGTTTTTGACACTACCAATTCCACAACAATGTTTAAAAGTAATTGTAAATACAGCAATAAAAATCATTTTCTATTGGCACTAAGTCTGCAGGACACAGAAATAAATTTCCTCCATTACACACAAAGGAGGCCACTAATACAACTGAAGCTATTACAATAACTTGTATATGAGTAACCCGAGTGGAAAATCACATACAGTTTTGACAATACTACTTGCAATAGTTATCAACTATACTTATAAAAAAACCTGTATACCAAATAAGATAAAAGTTTTATTTGGTGTTAACACTTGAATGTATTACTTACTAAGACTAAAACACCTTGTAGAATTATGAGTACAACATATTTTGCACAATATTATTACTAATATAAATTACAATTACCATTTATTAATTTTATGTTGGTATAAGTATGGGTAGATCATGGGATTTTCTGATTCTGGCATAGCATGGAGTACCCAATTCAAGTAGGTAAACATTTGTAATAATAATTGCTGAGGTTCAAAGATTAATTACTGGCTATAGTAGGCTACAAATTAATTATTCACATATTTTTAGCCAATTACATGGTCAGACAATACTCGAAATATTATATTAGATGATAAACCTTTTATTTAACAGGCATTATTTGCATTTTACAACAGACTATTATGTGCATTATAAGGTAGGTACCTACTTTTGCCAGCTATAATAAGTTTAATGGGTGCACTACTTTATAAATATATTATTACGTATAACACCTAGCACAGCAATCCAGTATGCTAACATAAACATTCATCTCATGTACTGTAAACAAATAAAATATCCCAAAAAAATACAACAAGGATACACATGAATTAATAGGACTAAAGAAATATAATAAATAATCAACACACAATTTACATATTATACAACACCAAAGTCCTGCTCCCCACTCCTCCAAAGACCATACAAACATTTACAATACAATTATGCAAGAAGCATGGTGGAGTTATTTCTGTTACAATCTAACAAAACTTTCACAATTCCATATAAGTAACTAATGTCAATGTTTTATCACTTCACCTGGACCAATACCACAATACATTTTGAAACAAATTAGCCAGTTTTACATTAATGTCATGGCAGTGGAATTAAACTTAGGAAAACTTATTTAGTATCTTGTAAAATGTTTGAGCAAATTTGGAATTAAATGAATAAACCTTATACTAGGGGTAAAACTATATAAAAACATAAATTTACCAACTATCAGTCTTTTAAATTGATGTTGATTATCAACCTTGTGGCAATTTGTCTCTCAAAAGTTTACAAAATATGAAAGGTAATGTAAAGACAACAAATAGAAGACTGTAAATGCCGAGCACTAGCATATCTATTGTCAGATCATTTATTAAAGTTTGTAAACAGGTAATATCTAAAAAATTAGTACTAGACTGATATTACTTTCTATGGCATAATTCGTAATGGCAATGCCTTGCTCAGATCAGTCTAAATAATAAAACAAAAAGACGATTTAGTATAAATAGATAATTCTAATAGTTGACTGTTATGTATACTACATTACTTTTTAGACTAATTATATACATACACACCTAAATACAGTTACTTACAATGCTTCTTAAGAATGTTATTATATCTTGATTTCAGCTCATATTCATAAGATTAGCGTTGTATTATTACTAATGTCTACCACATTTTACCATGTACCAGCTTACACATACATTACCCAATGTTATAAGTAATAATAATGGAGGACATTGCAATATAATTATAAAATAGTACTGTTGTTAAATACTATTCAAACAAATATGTTACATATAAATATGTCTGACAGTAATTTACTTTCACAGCTTTGGCTAAACTAGCAAATACATTTATTCCTTACAAATAAAATTTAAACAACTAAGTAAATAATGTTTTATAAAAAGGCCTCAATGTTTAGTATATCATGAATGATTAATATGCTAAAAAAGTTACAAATACTTTTTGTGAATTAATGAATCAAACAATTTTTGCTCATAAGCTTGTATGTAGTAGATATTTATGCAATTTTGTAAACTTTTGAGGTGAACCATCCCTTAAAAATCAATTGAGGATTTATTATGTTACTCATAACTTGATTCAGGTCATAATTTGCACTGAAAACTTGGTTAAGCTATGAAAATAAAATATGCATACTCATTATTTCAATTTAATTTAGTTTTTCATTTAATGGCAGGTGGTTATATAGATAAAATTTAAATAAGTGTTACTGAAATTAGGAGTGTAAAGTTTTTATGTATTGGTTGTCATTTTAGTTCTGTTGTCTGAATCAAGTCATGACAAATTAAATAATGGTGGGTTACCATAGCAGATCAGATATTGCTCTACACTCTCTCTTGCTTTGGTGGTGACATATCCTCATTACCATTGGCAACACTCTGATGATACAGTTTCAACAATTCCATGGCATCTTGAGCTTGGCGTTTCTCCAGTAATATTCTGTAAAATACAAAGAAATGAGTTGAATAGATGTGATTTTATTGTTTGTAATGAATAAATAATATTTAATTAATATAACCCACAGTGCAAAGTTTTTATTGTCCATTACATACTTTGTGAATTTAATTAATTTTAACGGCTATTATTGGTGATATTGGACAACCGGTTTCAGCCAGCCACATATTGAAAATAATTTTAAGTATTCACAGGAACTATTTATCAGAAAACACCACTTTATAAGAAATGCATTTTAAAATCTTTTAAACAAATTTTGTCAGAATTTTCAAAGAAAAGTCAATGAAGTTGAGTTAAATTAATAATCATAATGAAATTAGTGTTACCTTCCAGATGCTTCTTTGATGTGCTCCAAAATTATTCTATTGTCTCTATCAGTCACAATATCTGCTAGACTGTCTGGATCCATGTCTGACAACAATTCCAAGTCCTGACCTCCAAGCAGTGAGATATGGCACAAGTTGTGCTGTAGCCTTCCAACCAAGTTAGCAACTTGTCCTTTGTCTCCTAATGCGATGTCATCCGTTTGATCAAGAGACACTTGGCACTTTGGCATATTTGGAGACCATTTTTCATTACCATGTAAAATCATAAGAGAAGTATCAGGTTCTAAAGTAGAAAAATATTCTTCATCGTCCACTTCAGTGCCATCAGATTCTAAAACCACTGTTAAATTCTCCGAAGGCATCCCTAATTTTTCCGGTACTTTTGCAAGAAGATCCTCAAGGGATAATGCCACAATTCCTTTCTTTTTTTCTCGATTTACATCACAGATTTTATACGGCTTGTTAATATCGTGCTCCATTTGTTTTGTTTTGTTATTAATTAATTTACCAGTAATTTGAGATTGAGTCACACTATACAAGTTCTATTGTTTTTTGTTCAATATTCAGGCACAGACTAGCTAGGTCGGGAGTAGGAGGTACTCTCAAAAAATTGACGAGTCTCAGCTTCGCTATTCGCGATCGCGTAGTGGTCGATTTGACGTTTTAAAATATTGCCAGAGCAGAAATTATTATACACTTTAGATAAGTCGTAGGTTCAGAGGTTGTTTTTGTAATTCTTCAGTTATATTATTTTTATAAAACAAGTCCGAGTAGCATGAACGTCGTTCGATGGCTTTAAAACGACTGCCTTCTACAAGCTCCCGTTTTACTTTGCCGCTCACGGCGGCGCGGCGCCGCCGATCAACATAACACGAACATCTCGTTGATAAACTAAGTAGGTACACCGAAACTATGTAGGTAGGTATGCAAGACCACACCGCACCAATCAACTTGGATCTGCTGTGAATATTTTTACTAATAGTTTATTAGGTACTAACTCGAACTAATTTATTCTTAAAAAGCCCATTGCATAGGTAGGTAGGTAGCCTACCGTTCTTTTTCGAATTTAAAGTTCAATTAGGTACTGAACTTATGAACTTAGGTATGAACCAAAGACTTGTAGGTGTAATTTATTTTCATGTTACATGTAGAGCCATGTTATGGCTGAAGTCGTGGTTCAGTCCGGTAATAAAGACGTGTTTATTCATATCTTCATAAAGCTAATTTAAACGTGACACAACTTTAGACTGAAATAATGAGGGTGGCTCACACTTTTTGGTAGGTAAGTCATCTTTAGTTTTCTTTGTGTTAGTATAATTTAGATTAACGTTCTTAGCTATAATAATGTTTTAAGTAATGTGCATGTATAAACTATGCATCATAAAGACATAATGAGTCTCTACATTAATGGCTAAGAAGCATAATATGACATGGGATATTGCACTACATAATATCACTCATAGAAGGTCGTTGTCGTAATAAGCAACACAGAGCGGCGGTACGTGCGGTTTTGTGTACAAAGAGGTGTCAGAGGTAAAGCCATGCACGCAAATTTCCTGTACAGTTCCATCGTCACGCTCCATAAGTCAGTACCGTATTGTTGTTCGATAGATAAATACCTAACCTCTTGTAAGTAGATAGTGGAGATTGGTACCAAAGTTAATTGACGGTTTATTTGAAAACCTAAGTACCTACCCACTTTGAAGATATGATTGAACTCGCGTCACGGCCTACCTTCATTAGAGAAGTACCTCTTACTTAATTGAATTGATATACACTTGACATGACACTGTACTGTACTTAGGTATTTTCTTGAAAGTATTTAGAGGCGTATCAATAGGCACTATTCATATAATGAGACTGGATGTATGACTTACCTAACTAACCGTCGTTATCGAAGAAAAATACATGACACATTTGCTTGACTTTCGAAACGAAGCCTGGGTTTCACTAAAAACGCCTCAGTGTGTTTATTATCTTAATTATTGTAATAGCTAGATGATTATAATTCTGGGTTTTATAGCTGGTTTCGTCTTAGTAAAGTCTACTTAAACTACCTATCTAAAAAACTTCTAATATGCCTTTGGAATTGCAAAAAAAAAACAAATATATGGGGACAACTATCGACGTCTGATTAATCGACTAATATGTTTCCTGTGCATTTATTTATTCGATCATTGTTACTACCTAAATTAATATTAAAAAGTTTTTGAGTTTCAAAGTCTTCATGGTAGAGATATAATAATTTGAAAGTACGTGTAATAAATTTTCTCCAGTGATCAGCACGAGGGCTACGGACCAGGTATACAAGGGCGGTCGTGGGGTCACGTTCGGTCACAGCGCGGCGCGACGGGCGAGGATCAATATAGTCCCCCCTACCGACTCACCCCCTCAATACTCTGTACCTACTAGAATGCAATTTGCAACTCATCGCTCAATAGTTTTGTAATAATAATCTTGTAAAGATAAGGACCCAATTAAAATAATGATGAAAGTTTATATGGGAATGTTATCAACATTTGAACTAATTGATAAGTCAAAATAAAACTGAAACTGAAAGCACTCAATACAAGCACAATGTAAACAAAACCCTCGAACTCATTAATATTGACCGAGCACATAATATTTTTTCTCTGCTTGTTAAGAAAACAACGAAGTCTGCACAAACAATAGAGATGCGTTTTATTGGCCTTACAAACAAGTTGATTAATGTTTCACTACCACGGGATGCACACAGGTGTTTAAAATGTAAATAACAACTACATTAGCTGGGCGGTTTACTACCACTGGGGAGGCACTAATGGATATTAACGTAACGTTTTTAGGATGATGTCTTTGCACCCACAAATTAAGGTGTAAATGAAAATGTCGCAAACGTTGAGAAAGTAATAGAAGTAGATAAAAACTAATCATTAAACAGCAGACAGAACTCTAAGTAACTCCTAAGCTCTCCCACACTTATTTGACTCACTAAATGGGTTTTTGCTCTCTGGAACGCTAAATCGTTTTATGGCATCGGAAAGAGGTAGACTCGCCCAATTTCATCAAAAACCCCGAGGCAAACGTTCAAGATTGAGCCAACAAATAAGGACGTAATAATATTGGAAAATCACTATACGTATTTTCAAGGTAGATAATAAATAACTCGAAGATGAGATGAGACAAACATTGAATGAAGAGGTAAATATAAATAAATAGCCATTTATTGCTATTTAATTTTCCTTAAAGAAGGATACTTATATAGACAGTAAAATTGTTATTCGTGTAAGCAACTAGTGGATTGTATTAGGGTTTGCATTATTAAATGCTTAGTGTGAATATGTACTAGTTTACAACGAACAACGCATCTGCAATGCTAAAATAAACATAGCCCACGAGGCCTCAGTACGTGCAGGGTAGGTAGTAGGCAGGTGTACGATGTAACTACCCACTCAAACAACGAGTATTGTATCTATACTTTTATGAAAGCTTCAAGTATCTAACCTTTAGAAGACTCGTTACTTGTTACACAATAAATTAAATTAATTGCTTAACTTTCCCATTATCATAGTTAGCTCAAATATATTTTAGACTTTTAGACCATGTTGAAAAAGGTAAGTTATAAAAGTTTTCTATTTCTAAGCAGATTTCAATACCTTATCTGTATTTGATAGAGATTCATAAAAAGCTTTACAATAAAAGTAAAGTACCTACTTACTATGCCCATTTTAACTTATTAATACATTTTCGATTTCGAAATTAACTTAACGTCTGTCGCGTTCGCAGTTTTCGCTTGGTCAACCTAACTTACTAGTTTATTGATGCTATTACACGAACTGCCCCGTCACCATTTATTGTTTTCAACAAGGAGTGTACAGGCCCGGCTCTAACTATTCGAGCGCCCGTGTGCAAATACCGATTATGCCGCCCCTCTTTTTGTGGGGTGAGTCATGAAATGACTCTTGAGGAAGTGACTCTTACAACTCTTAGTAACTAAAAACCACCCCATTCCTTCCAGAGCCTCAGGACCCATACGACAACCTACATTCCAGCAAGGTAACAATCCTGGTGGGCTCCGTCTATGGTGATCTGATGACTCTTTGAGGCCCAAATTTTAGAGACGCGACGCACCGTTTCGAGTAACTGTAGAAAGCGATCGAGGGCGCTCGATGGTTTTTGAGTTACTCTCGAAAATGGTAGAGGACATTTGATAGTTTTCGAATCTTTCTCGAAAGTGTTCTATTTTTAATTTTTTATTATTTGATACCCATCTTTCTTATTACATTATACCAAACGTAAAATAAATACAAATACTTATATTAGAAATCACAAACTTATGACCTTGTGGTCATCCCAGAAAGTAGCCACAAGGGTTAAACATATTTGAATAAGTAGATACGTCCAAATATTAATATTTCCAAACCCCAAGTAAATATACACTACTTCGAAACTCTGATAGAATTTCAATTCACCCGAATGGACTGTTTGGTTAATAAACGTATGTAGGTTAGTAGCAACCGTGAAAGCTACACTCGTAAATATTAGGTGAGTGATCCATAAAATTTGCATTAAAATTGACATCCGTTCTCTATTTTATATAACTTCCTTCCAGCTGTTGGAGATGTGATGATGAATGAGAGAGTGGGCGTACTATATTATACCAATCTTCATATTGGATAATATTAAACTATTTTCCGACACTTACCACTCTTTGGTGAAATGTTTATTATACTACCTAGTGACTCTCAAGCCAAAGTCCCCAGGGTTTTTCCATGGTTCTGAGAAAGGGTGCCTGAAAGAAATTGCAGAATACAATATGACCGCACATTGATTCATCTTATTGCTGGTGATTTGCAAATTCTCAGAATTTGGAATTTAGTGCGGTATTTAGTGAACGGCGCGGCGGCGCTTTTCACGCAAAGGTACCAAAAATCGGAATAAAGGAGGGACCTTGACTTACTCCTTCAAAGAATAAAAAGCTTGACCTTATTTCACGTATGTACAAACAAACTCGGACCTTCTCCTATTCCATGTATAATAGAAAAGTCCGTACACAAACAATACAAAATGAAACAATACGACGACTGTCACAACTATTCCCAATGTATCAGAATAGTGTTAAAATATAGTGTATGCAGTCCACATGAGAAATGTTTTATAAAGCACGAGCGTGACTTGTTTCGAGTCATATTTTTCAATGACACTGTGGATGGTACAGCCATTTGCAAGTGGAGGGTGGCGGGTGGTCCCGGCGGTGTACTATAAAGTTTCGTCGACACGGTACCTGCATCACGGCAACGATGCCCGGATGTTGTAATTTCAAACTACGAACTTTGATGAACACTGTACACGTATGACGCGGATACTTTGGATAATAGCCGCTTTTCATTTACCTCCACTGTTTGTGGGATTTGTGTGTGTACACTATCGTTTCATATATGAGGAAAAATAAGGAAGGTGTTACTAAGCATTATTGTTCGTATTGTACGAGATTATTTTGCTTCTGATCCTCTTTGAAAGTAATATTTAATACACCTTAAGTTTTTGTAACCTTTGGACAGAAGTGTCTGTGAAGGACGCCCTGGAATGACATTTACCGGCCGACCCTATTATTTGTTGTCCTTCGACAAGGTCAGGTGCCTGGTACTTGGAAGATTCGCGCACGACGAGGCATATTATAGCTTCTTTCAAAAATGGAAAGTGTGAGAGCTCTTAATGTCTTCGGCAAATAAATTCACAAATCTCTCCACGGAGATCCATTACCTACTTAAAGATTAAAATTTTGCGCGCGGCTTGGAGATGTTTAGTAATCGATCTCGTGAGGCTCGTATTTGATTTATGTTTATAAAACATTTATAGCTAATACCACCGGAAAGAATGTTGGTGAGAAAGCTGTGAGATTCCTCTACCATTTATGGTTTTTCTCTCGTTTGATCTCCAACAATGAAAACTTTTATGAATTTTAAGTTTAGGCCTCTTTCTTGCCCAGATTTTCTGTTTCAGTTCTTTTATGGTTTTTTAAAAATGCAAACTCGGTTCGTGTTTTTGTATAAGATCGTATAGTCAAAGCTACAAGTATCTTTTGTGTGCATTTAGCCTTTGGCTGCAGCCCACATGACCTTTGCAGCTCAGTATTCAGGTCGAGGTCGCACCTCTGACCCCAGGCTCCCACGGGCACATTACGGGCGCCACATCAGTGCCACAATTTGTGTCTGGATACCACAAAAGCAATTGCATTGGAAACCGATACGGAATGTTCAGTATTAACTATTCAGTAAATTGAGATTAATACACTTAAACTCCGATAGTTGTTAGTGGATCTTAATGTTGTTATACAAGTTCCGAAATAGGTTATTCTGAGACATTGAGTAACCTCTGTTAGTCTCAATCTCTGTTACACGTGTTCTGCTGATTTTGGTTGATAGATTCGGGTTGGGAACCGTTAAATTATGGTAGACAAAAGATTTCACACAACAATGGACGCCATCAGGCTTTTTTGTTGTTTTTGAATCTTTTGCAACTATGCGCCGCGACTTTGATCAATTGTTGTTAACGTGGGCATCTAAATGATTAGCAATTCTTAAAATTTGGGTCAAAAATAGAAAAGTCATCTTCAATGAAAGGAAGCTCCAACAATGCTCGACGTTGTTTTTTACAAAAATCTAGATAATACTTTGGATTTGAAAGAGGAGGCTATATTGAAACGTGGTTCGTTTTTATTATTTTATTTCTTTGGGATGGAATGGAACATTTCTATCGAGGCTCATCGAGCCGGGGTTGCAACGGGAAATAAGATTGTTTTGTTGCATAAATGGAAATATATCTGAGTACCTGCAGTAATAACTAGTGTTTCTATGGACTATTATTTTCATTTCACATTTATTTAAAAGTAGGATTGAAAAATACAGCTAATCCTTAAGACATGTATATCATTGGGCGATATAGAGACATGGAGCGTTGGGTTCAAATTAAAAACGTTACGATCTTAACAATTAAGTCAGTACATAAATGGACTGTGTGGGTTTACACATAATACAAGTAGTTATTGCGCCAAAGAAACCGCACGTCCTTGACATAAAGTTGCGACAATTTCACCCACGTAATGACGCAAGGAACAATACTGACTTATTTTTCATTTCATCGAAATTAAAAAGTTGTCCCGCGATATTTTACCAGTTTACGAAGAAGTAATAAATAAGTGAAATAACCCGTCCGCACTCGTAAACTAATTCACCGCTTTTAAGTACTTCAGTCGGATACTTTTATTTATTACCTTAAAGGCAAGTTAACCGACGAACCCATTCCAAAGGGACCTTTCCTTTTCATACCATGTCTCCATGTTTGTTTCGAACTTATAAAAGCAACTCTATTACACAGAATACGAAATTGATAATGATAGTCCACTACGTTGCAGTGACGATAAAATTTGCTGATGGTTGCTAACCGCACATGTTCTGATTAAATAATTAAAGTATGCTAAAGTAGGTCAACAACGTACCTATGAGTCGTTGGAGCGATAAGTTGGTCGATGCTGCGCTTTCAAAAACTTAAGAGCTTGTATGGCATAGTCTGAATAGCTTAAACAAAATTGTACCATATCATCTTCATGTTATGATGTTAATTCAAAAGTTTTCCTATTTTCGTGAATGTCACATTGGTCCGACAAGGTCGCCTTATTCAATTAAGGAAGTTTCGCTCCTTGAAAACACAGTTCTGACAGAATTTATAAAGCTTTTCATAGGACGTTGAAGCTCCTACTTTTTGTATGGATAAAAAACGGTAGTTAGAATAAGTTTCCGTGTGGTCAGTAAAGGAAAACCTTTTGAACTGTAAAACTCTGTGAAGCAAGACATCGTGGTGCTACGTATTTTATTATGCTTGAATTAATCGATGCTTCAGTTGTAGGTGTAATATAATTCTTGTTTTAACACCAGTTTGCTATTCCAATTGTTTTTTGTTCGATAAATTTTTATATTTTTAGAAACAATTTATGGGAGCTGAAACTTACTTACTAAGATAATAATAAAATCAATTCACTTCTATTCTTAAAAATATATTGCTTTTTTATAAGATCAAATCCAAATAATTTCAGAAGTAGACCTAAAACTTTCTGATTGGTCAGCATTTGGTAATATTTCTAAGAAGCCTCAACCGCGTGTCCCAGACATAAAACTTATCCAATATAAACTCGTAATAGTTCATTACCAAAACTGGATTTCTTTGCTACGAATCTATATTGCTACGACGGAGTGCTACGCGGTAACCGTGCTACGTACGTAGGCTGACTACGTAGGCGTATTTGCGATTGCGCCGTAGCGAACACGTTTCCCTATCTCCTGAGCGATAAAAATCCTTTCACATTTTTTATGACTTGGGTTTTCAAAGTGATAACAATAATGATTTATTTTAGTTTGAGAATAAGTGCTTATTCTCACAAGATTTTATAGCTATTACAGTGTTCATGTAAAAATAAAAATAAGATGTGTGCGAGAAAATAAATACAAGCAATTTAACTATTTGTGTTTACTAGAACATAAGTCATTGACTGCTACTGAATTAAATTATTCCTTTCACTCTGTTTTCTCATAGAACCGCAAACATTCTAATTTATTCCATTCGTCAACAAGTAGTTTAATCTAGGGAATAATTATTTCACAAACAAAGAGAATTAAAACAACAATTTACTTTTTTATTTATTTAAAAGACACATTTTATAAAATTATCTCACACGCGATAGAACTATAATTAATCTAGAAAATAACGAATTATGTCTGTATGCCGTACTTAAATGCACTTCAAAAATGCAGCAGGCAGGTGGTGATTGTGAATTCATGGCACGCCACGTCCCGGCTGCACTTTTAACATTATACGAATACACACACATAAAGCAAGTATTTGCAAACATGGGCGATGTGATACACGACATACACGATACCAACTAAAGGAAAGGCCTCCAGTTGATAATTGTCATTGATAAGACGGACTAATGATGCATGATAACACACGGGAACATTTATTCGAAATACTGTAACATTGTACACAACACGTAATATTTTACATTACTTCTACAACTGTGAATATACACAATAATAACGTAATTGTACATTAGTAAGTAAGCATATACAGAGATAGATTTACATTGTGCGTCATTTAAACCTAAATTCAAGGTAGTTGGTTTTAGTGGTGGATTTTCGTTGTCCGAGCAAATGCAGGCTAACTTACAGACTGGTTAATAAATTTATATTTTAAACTTCACGCAAATAGCGTATCGTAGACTAAAGTTTATTAAGTCTCAAGAGATTTGCTTAAGCAAGCACATAATTAATGTCTTTTGGTCGTACCACCACAACCAACACGTAAATGGTTTAAATAACGCTCATTTCGACCAATTTCACTATTCGATAATTATTTACCTTAGTCTGAATGATGGAAAACCACACATTAAATTCGAAAATGGATCAGCAACATACGCGACTGACAGAATTGATCGAGTGCCAACAAATAATCGGGTCAAGCTGACCTGAGTACTAACATTTAGGTAGTCACTTATCTACTTATCAGATTCCAAAGTATATATATTGGTTTATATTTACTACGACTTATATTTTTACAACGTAACTTGATATGGAACAGAACATGCCCGAGCAATTTCATTTTGTACTAGCGAGTGTTGCCTAGAGCCGGGTCTAGTCTGATACATAATTTTGTAGGCGTCTAATTTACACAAAAGATGAAAACGGAGATTATAATGGAACGGTCGAGTGAATCTTTTGTTAATTAACAAAATGTCATAAACAGTCTCATTGGCTGACGTTTAGATAACAGACAAAAGCTTTTTATTATAATTCTGACATGATTGTTAAAAGTTAATTTATTACACTGGCTTAGGGCGATGCTGATGTTTTTTAGTGTGTAGGTGATTATAATGTAATGTGATCAAGTGGGTTGTAGTTCCCTAGAAATGGTGAACTGTCTTCAGCTTATACAGTTACATAACTCGAGTGCTCTGCATGAGAGTTTCATTTGGCACACGCCAACCACGTTACCCACGTATTATGTAGATACTAATTGTTTATTGCACTAAGATAACCAGTATGCCAGCTCCTTGAATATATCTATATTTATATATTCCAGTGCAATTCGTTGAATAACGATATTTCCAGCATCATATCATCTTAAAATTATTTGACCAATGGCATACTTTCCAGATGGTAACAATAAATATATTTTAAGACCTACCGCGAATATCATAACTTTAACAATTTGATCCCGTAAACTCAAAGTTCGAGATGAAAGCGAATTCGCATTTTGATGGTAGGTATGAACGGCACCGTCGGTTATACTTTGTTTTTCACATTTGACCTTTATACCCGCTGTGTAAATTTAAATTTGTTGTTATAGATATAAAGGTTCATAGGATCAGTGAGATATAAACCGAGGTTTTATCAGTTGTTGGAGTTGAGCAGGCTTAATCAGTGTAGAGGCCTTCGTAGAGGGATCGCGGCATGTGCTCAGCGAGCAAGGACTTTAGCTTCTCTCGGGGGGAGACGGGCGTGTAGCGTGCGAGCGGGAACGTGCGTGTCACTCCATCACTCAGGGCACGTGTCACGGCGGTCAGGTCGGCGTCCTGGAACCAATACAACTCATTACTCATCATACTCGTGCCTTTGACGTCAGTGAACTACTAATGAAGCGTAAACAATAAAAGGAGATAAAACCACTGATGTGAAAATTACAAAGTCGGCTCACCAAACACTTCTCACATCACTGGCTTTGTTGGTTGTTGTTGCAGTTAGGTACAAGTATTTACGTAACAATTTGAGAAAATTATCAATTTATTTTTATTTTCAGAAAATACGGTGTTTTGCTATTTCACAATTTGCTCAATCTGAGCATTATTGAGTCTTGAATTGCCTTGTTTGACAATACGCTCGCCCCTTTCGCGAGGCAATCCCTGAGGCCAAAGTGGGTGTACTGGCTCCGGGAAATAGAAGGCATGACTTTATATTATGTAGTATATAACTAAAAAGTAATTTGTTAAATAAACGATTGTTTCTATTTTAAAAAGTCTACATTGGGTGCCACACTCGCAAAGATTGTTGGAAAGACTTGTACCCAAGTTTTAATTTTAATGATACTATTTATATGAAATACGATATCTCCCTTAGGTGCATTAGGGACGGAGTTAATAAAAGTGTAATTTAACCTTTCCATTATCAAACTCTCAACTCAATTGAAACATTGGGTGTGTTTTTGTTTCGACACGTAACAATATGTAACATATCCTTTACTAATCGGGGTTAAAACACAAATTACAAAAAAGTATGTTATTATGGATTCTGCTTAGTCTTATAATAGCAGAGAGTAGTATTACGATATGGAAATACAATGATAACAATTATCTTCGTGTACGAATGGCAACTTTACATAGACAAGATGGGTCCCTCCCATCGTATTTATTATGCAGTAAGGAGTTTGTTTACAGAACTGATTCTAAGAACCAGTATGGTAAGGAAAGCTATTGATTTTCCGACTTCTGATTGTTTTAACATCTATCTAAGCACTTAGTAATAATAGAATAGTTTAGTTGTTCTCAAAAGTTTACAAATAGTTTAATTGCTTAGTATTGATTTTCTGTATCAAGTAGGTATTCCGTGTACAATACAGGTTGTGATAGGTACTTGTATACTGTGTCATTGAAAGGGGTAGGCAGAGAAGTAACAACTATATGTATACTAGGAGTCAGTGTGTGTAGTGAGCCAGCCACACACTCTAGGTTAAAACTCAGACTCAGTGCTACCGCGGATTAGGTACGAAAAAACTTCGAGCCTTAGTGTTATTTTATCCAACTCCTAACTATTGGATTTTGGTGCTTATGTACTTATGTTATATACATTAAAAATTGAAAGTGAAGACTTATAGGGACAGCTTAAGAACCATTTAAGATTGTAAAGAGAATCATTATTCAACATAAACTGGGCGCTGAGGCGAGAACCAAAGCCATGATGTTATTAAAGTTGTTTCCTTCAGAATAATTACAATTTCGAGTACGATAAGAACATTTATTCAATTTTTCTATTTTTCGGGAAATGTACGCAAAGGAATTCAAATAAAATGCGGACGTTCAAAGCACATATGTTCGTAGTTGGAATATAGCATAAACCCAAAGACGTGGGTCGGCTTAGGTATTCCTGTTTTATTATTCGGAGAAGGATATGGGTTAAACAGGCGTTCCCAAAAACAAGTGAAGTGAATCAAAACACATTTTGTCTTACATTTTTCATACCTACACAAAATGTGAACGTGACATTTGCCTGAAGTCGCTAGTGTCCCTCGTTAAGCCGTTTATTTACTTCTAATTTTATAACAAAGTCAACCGTTTTTCATTAAAAAACATGTAACCTACTTTACCGAGCCTTGATATTCAAATTATGGGACAGCGGCTTGTATAATTTCTGACACGACCTTTTGCTGATGAACATACACTGTGTAGATAGGTGAAAATGAGGTACGCTATCAATATTTCGTATCGCAAAAGAAATCGACAAAATGGCCATCATTTTGTCAGACGGGTACATATCCACCTACACTTGAAGAATGTAATATTAAGGCGTCGCGTCGCCGTGTTTATAAGTAGGTACACAACTAAAGCTATAAATACGAAGAAATTACGCGTAGTCACGTTTTTCCTACTTACAGCGCTTTTAGTGTACTTCTCAAGGCTTCGCAGGGCGTTTTCGAAGTAGTCTTCACCGTATGCGCCTTTTTGTTCATCGCTGAGTCTCTTCCACATATCGCGCGCTTGTTCCAGAAGTTTCTCCTCGGATAGCCAGGCACTGCCCGTTGTGTATTCTCCAGCTGCCACCACCACCTGCCAATAAACTCAGTATATGTAAAAATCCAAGTGGCACGCGTAAATATCCAATCTATCTTACTGAAGAGTTATTATTAGACCGTACGTAGGTGACTAGTGCGATGATGTATGTGCGACTAACTAGCCGTGTTTGAGGAAGTTCTTGCCGCTTATCAAAACTTTTCTTTACGGATCCATTAGGTTGATGCTAAAGTTGTTCGTAGACTCTTAAGTTCAGATAAACAGACATTACATTATGTAGGTACTAAACACGTGTTAAATCGAACTTTACTTACTGCCTTCGCATTTCATATAACTTTTAATTGTGTCTACGTTAGTATGATATACAGATTTGCAGACTTCCCTCATAAAAATGTGACCTAACATTTTTTGCTCGAATTAGTTTCGGTGTTTCATCTCAGGACAGTCATTTATGAAAAGTCTACCTCATTTTGCTCTAAAATATGGCGTAAAAGTACTAGTTGGTAGTCTGTTTACTGAATAAATATCATTCATCTTTTAAGAAATTCAACGTCGCAGTGTGATTACTAAGCAAGTTTTTTTAAGTCCAATTAAAATTTCATTAGGAAGAAAAGCAATTATTCCTAAGTTTGGAACTATAAATACAATATTGTTATATCAGAATAATCGCAAAGGGTGGTACTCAAAACAGAGAAAACACGTACATGATTGTATTCCGCATGTTACAAATATGGGTATGAATTTCACAAAGTGTGAGTGACGGTATCAGTCGCAGTATAATTAATTTTAACGGTTTGTTTTACTGTGTATATTCGTACATTTGTATATTTGTACGTATGTAGATCGGACACGCGTCGAGTTTTAATTGTTACCACATTGGCATTCGATCAATATTGGATCGCTTATACATATGATGTGATGGACATTCCGTATAAATATCTGACGGGAATACGCCATACGTTAGATGCACGAGTTACGTAATATCAAGGCAAATCTCGAACTATAATTTGCGTCATACGCGCACTGATTTTGACCCAAGTTTTGATTAAGATAACAATAACAACTATTTGTATAGAAAGAAGCACATTGTCTAAAGTTTATTGACCACACAGTTTCCTAAAAACGAAAACGTAAATAAAGGTAAGTTTATGCTGTTATAAACTTTAACGGATATTTGTTCCCGAATGCCGGCGGTAAATCAATTATTAATTTTCCGAACATTAATTAACGCCATATTTCGTTTTCTCTTGACGGAGAGAGAGTGGGTGTCTGCGGTAATTGATTCTCATTTTATTCACATTAAGTACGACCTTGTAGTATATTATCATAATAAAGACTTCATAACGGGAGAATGTCTGAGTGAAAAATTTCGTTTGAGATAAAAAGCCTTTTTGAAACTTGTAATGCATAAAAATTGTATTTATTATGCTAAAATTAAAAGTCTAAGCTACGTCACAGTGTTGCTATGTTTTAGTACATCTTTTGCATATTTTCAGAGGTGAATCAGTAATACTGGAAATAAAAATATTGCACTTGACGTCAACAGCTAGTTTATTTGGTGCGTCAAAGACTTGAGTTTTTATTTAGGTGTAGTGTATTAGTAGAAGAACTAACAGTTGCCAAAATAAAATAAATACGTGCGAAAGAAACTATTTAGTGATGCTTATTTTATCCTCATTATAATGTTCTAGCCGATTAATTATAGTAAACGTTTCCACGTTTCTCTCTGTAATTTAAGTTACATAATTATACATAGATGTTTATAATGTAACTGGTTTACAACCATTAACTTATGATTATATAAACGAAAAAATGCTGATAGTTCAAGGTTCATTTAATTTTTAACGACTCGTTTCTATTTTTCATTAGCACAATTACTGCGGGTGGATGAATGGATGGATGGATGAATACTGATTACAGGGTTATACACGGAATACAAAACCCCGGCCGGAAGACTTAACGGGTTACCGGGACTTCATCTCACAGCAGAAGTAGAAACGGGAACTTTTAGTCAAGAAATGTATGACCCGAGTAGGAGAAGTTATTGGGTGACTTTCCTCCGTCAAAAAAGGCGTTATGCTACATACCTAGGCATGCTGTGGTCTCTTGTAATATAATCCCCATTTTCCTGTAAAACCTCCGCGATGAGAATCAGGCACAGGCATTTCTAGAAAAGTACTTATTGCCATAAATGTACGCCTCTAACCATTATACCAAAAATAGATGAAACATAATATGTACCAATTCAAATTAATGTTAATTAAGTGTCCATTAATACAGCACTAATTGTGGTTTAGGCCTCAGATTACATTATGATCGTATAGGATACAGGTTAACGATGTTACCCTGAATAATATAGAGCAGTTTGATAATGCTATACAGTAGAGGTAACGAGCTAAGCTAATTTAAGTGCTGTACGAACTAATCTAAAATTATACCACCTCGTTTGTGATAGTGAGGCGAGACAGATGAAATATTAAAGCGCCTTGTTATACCCCAGTACTAACCCCTTGACATCTATTCTAGGAATACAAATTATTTTGTCATGTCACAGAATTAGGTAACATTTATTACTGTGTATGATGAAGGAAAGATTTAGGCTGTTTGTTTGTTGAAAGAAAAGTAGTTCAAAAGCGCTATTTAATTAGAAGTAGGTAGTTCAACCAGGTTGTCTATCTGTAGACCCTATGGTTACACACTAGTTTAGCAACCATTATGTCACAGTGTAATAGGGAATTATTGAACATGAATCAGTGATTATTATACTTCTCTTCTAGATGTACGCAAATAATACATTCAAAACTGTTGAACAGATTTTTAATATAGTTTTCCACAGAGAGTAATTAAAACAATTTTTCGACGATGTCGCGGCTACAGCTTGTTCTCCTATAACAAATGTGCCTACATTTGTCGCTTATTCAATGTCCTACACTGTGACCTAATTTTTGAGTTTTTAATCTGTATCATCAACTATATTCTCGTAGGAATCCTTTCCATTTGTAGGATTAAAAATGTTCTAAGTCCAAATCCAGGTCATGGTCTACAGGTGAACTAAATTACATTGGAATCCCTCACGTAGTTAAGGTATGCCGTACGTAACGTCTACTTCATTAGTAGGTATTATACGACTATTGTATCTACATCTATACTAATGGCAGCTGTAGAATTTCATTGCTTGATATAACTGAATGATCTCTGGTAGTTACTGGTTTGATTTAACTTGTTCAGCTTGTAACTTTTAAGTGTAAGTTAAGGTTATTGAATGCTCATTAAAATGGAAGAACAAGAACTGATCCAGAAACAAAAATTATCTCTAAAGAATTTCACTCTTGATAATATTATTATCCAACCTAAAAAGAATAAAATGTGGGAAGACAATAGACATCCGCCCACCTCCAATAAACTGAATGTTCATTTACAAAAACATAATTAATGTGATGCCAGAAGATACTAAGACACTGATTGATCGGTGTCCGAACAAAATAACGGTAACTATACAAAGAATCGTTTCTTAGGCGACATTTTTTAAATGGGATAGCTTTGTTATCCCAGTGATTAATCAAAATCTTTCTAAGAAAATAGTTTTATTCCCACCGCCGCTGGGATTTGCTCACAATCCTAGTTTTCCTCAAGTAACTACCTAGCTAACTCAGCGGCCATTAGTTCGTGGCACTGTTATTAAAGTATTAACAATGTTGTAGTTTCGTCGTCGACGGTTTACTTGATTAGTGACTAGGCGACAACTGACAGTTTGAACTAAGCTTTGCTGTGGTAGACTTTGTTACTGTGTCTACATATATAGAGGTATTTTGATGTAGGTACCTTTTTTGAGGTGGATATCTGCGTATGTATGCCCCTAAATCATTGCTCATTAGAGTTTTGATTTCGACGGATATACAAAATAATATCAGTTAGATAGACTCTATTTGTTAGATTGAAGCCATATGGCTTTTTGAATGAACGAAATGGTACCGGAAAGAAAATTTCTTGGGGTTTTATTGGAGTTTTTGTGTGCGAATGAATAACCCATGACGTAAGATTCTACGGATAGTTGCTGACTGCGCTCTGTGGTTTCTTTCGAGCCCCAGGGGACTAAAAAGGTGAGTCTATCTATGTCTAAATATGTATAATGTAACTTCAATTGGGTTTACTAAGTAACTTAGAACGGTGTATCTCCTGTGAGTGATAAGACAATTTGCACTCTTTGAACTAGCAGATAGTGTCCATTTATCTATGCGAGCATTCTATTTTCTGAGTACATACTCTGATCATTGTGATACCACGGATAAGTTTTGAAAGGGTTTATTTATAGAAGACGCAGTATCGTACGCAGAATAAAGCACTTAGGCAGCTTAGGCTCTTATTGAAATAGTGCTCTTTAATGCATAGGAAAACGCCCACACATAATCTTACACATAGGACTATATTAGTGACTTTTCCTTCCTCTGTAAAACTTTTTATACTAGGTATTTAATTACATGTAGAATTTTTTAAACGTTCTGTGGTCATATGTGCATTTCAAAACATAGAATGCGCAATATACCCAGACTCAGACCAACAATTTGTGGGTCACACAAATATTTGCTAACCATAACCATGCAATCAAAATGTTTTAAATAAGATCATTGTTGTTGCAGTGAGTACGAGAGTTTTATTAAGCATTCTTAAATTCAAATAAAATTCAGCTTACGTTCAAAAATAGATTACGTGTTGAAACCTTGAGCTAATGCAAATATAGTTACGAATGCGCAGACGAGGACTAATTTTTTATACTCCCTTTCGAATTTAAAGGACGTCTACAAAGAAAGGTTCTAAGACTTCTAAGTAAAAACTGTATAAGGAATACGTAATCTGCGAAGGTTTTCAAAATATGATTACTTTTTCATTTAACTTTAGGGACGTAATTAATTTACGTCAAGCCTAGTTAAAAGCCTTGAATACCTGACAACGGGTTTCACAAAGAATGTGGTTGAACCCTTAGCGGGTTGTCGAAGGCAGTTTACGTAAAATACTAACTTTTAGCCAAATCTGGTTAAGACTTTGTGACCACAAAGTATGTAAACAGCATTTTATTTGAATTAAATTACATACTTTTGAACCGTCAAAGTGGTATAAATTAATCCATTAGAGAATGAAACCTTCTTGTCTTATTACCCAGAATCATAAGAATAAGCTATGAGTAATAAATTCCATTACTCTTTAAAAAATGTAAATCTAGTTATGAAAAGGTCAGGATAAAGATTAGAGGCATAATTAAAAGACTTACGCAATCAACGCCTCGTGGTTTGAGTTCACGACGGAGGCAGGCTGCTAGAGCATCCAGGGCAGCAAGCGAGGCAGCATGGACACCGCGCACTGGAGCGGCCACGTGGGTGAGGATCGAAGAGGCCAGCACCACGCGGCCTCGTGCACGCCTTACTAGAGGAAGCATCACCTGCACCAGCCTAGCTGGACCTGTGTATCAAAACCTTTCTATAGGGTTTTAATCTGACATGGTTAATGGTTATTAACACTATCCGATGAAACTTATAATATCTAAAATTCCGAATACTCTGAACCAAAAAAACATGGTACGTTTGAACGTAGGTAACATTTTTTTTATGTAATAAGCCGGCAAACGAGCTGACGGATCACCTGATGGTAAGCGGTTAACCGGTTTTTACAAATATTTTATCTCATAAATTAATATCTCGGATGGCTGAACTCACTACTTCCACAATCACATTGTCATATAGAAGACAGTTTGGATTTTACAATCAATATACCGTCTGTCCGAATACATTTAAGTTTAACCCAATTCACTAAAAATATTACAAAGTCGTTATGGCCGAGGATGCTGATGAAAAGGCAATCAAATCAAATGGGGCTTTGGACTGCCTCCATAAATTTGCTATTCATGTTTAAGTGTTTTTTTACGTAATGGACATGGTTGTATACATACAAATCATTTACATATCATTGAATTGGTCAATCAACTGTAAAATCACGTAATTTTTGCAGCTTTTATAATTCAATAATAGTGTTCGGTAACAATAATTGACATATTGTTATGAAAAACATCTCTCATCAATATAACGTACAGTTAAATAGATTACCTCTAAATAGATTGCTTGAAAATTTTATGTAATATCTAGCTAGCATCTGTGCTTATTTACCAAGAATAAACATAATGTAAGAAAGTCCTTGTTATGCATGACTACACATAAACGACAGTTTGAAACCCGAAGATACCTAGTATCTTGCTAATTAGCTCACCGCTGAAAATAAATTCTTAGACTTAATTAACTGTGAGGGAACGTGCAATTTTTTGCTACTGAAAATTAAATCTTCATTTTTTCCTCTCTCCGATATTAAGTTTTCCATTATGATGTTAATATTCTTTTTGAATTATGGCAGCTAGTCAAAGGCGAAATTGGTTTGCTAATAAAGTGTTTTACGAATCATATTTGATAAGGAGAATTACTTTAAAAATAATAAAAAGTATGTTAAGGAAAATGTAAAGGGAAAATTTGAAAATCTCTAGACTTGTTTAATAATTCATTTGATATGTAGTTCTGTTGGTATATTATAATATTTTAGATGTATCTAAGTATCAAATTATGTCTGAAATAGTTATTTATACTAATAACACATTTACAAAAGGTATTGTGTTTAGACCAAGTTTGCCTTTGGCCAAACCGACAACTAGTGACATCTAGCGACATTTTCACGAAACATTACGTCTACGGTCACTCACCAAGCAAGTTGACATCCATCGCACGTTTGATGACGGAGAAAGGCACCCATTCTAGTTCACCCAGTGCACACCACGATTCGCAGTTGACGATGGCCCACAGCCCCTGAGCGCCCTCTGGTAGATGGTCCACGATGTACAGAGACGCCGAGAGAATCTAACGCAAAACAGCTTCAAGTTACTCAAAATGTTCTCAGAACTTGCCACCAGATTTCGTTCGCATCTACAAATAACTCGACAAAATAAGATACGTCAAAATACGATTTATACAAATCGCATTTCGGAAAATTCTAGATTTTTGGCGTGACAAATTATCGTCTGACAATTTTAGGATTGCATATTACTTTGAAATGTTATTCGTATTTTGTCATAATTAACTTGTCATAGTCCGTTGGTTTCAGACAATCTTTCTCAGTTCTATTAATCATTTTTCAAGAAAAATGGAACTCGAATCTTGTATACGTCTATTTACTGCAACTGTGACTATTTCAAATTGGTTTTTTGTTCAATCTTTGCAAAAATGGCATTAGAGGCATTTATATTTTCTACCTTTGTACAAAAATTGGTAAAGGGTACTCTTATTTAAATGAAAAATGACGTTAAGTTGTATTTGCTGTCGTAAATGCAAAAATACAATTTCGAAATGAAAGTAATGTGATACGGTATGTGAAATCAGGAATAATTTATTTGCCAAAAATGTAGGTAATAAATATGTTGTTTTATAACTTATGGAGAGTCCCGGTACATTTTGCCTTACGGCATGCAAAATTATTGAGTTAATTGAATACATTGTTTACATCTAGGTATTAACATTTCTATAATTATATGAAATTGAGACAAATTATAAAAAAGTGCTTAGCTACATCTTTATTTGTGGTCGAAGATCTTAAAATTGTTTATTTTTAATGCGTTTAAATGGTTAGGTACTTTTATATTAGTAGCAAACAAAAAGATAGTTAAATGAATTCGTGCCGAGCAGAAAATTATAGAGGATCGTTACTAACAACTACCGTATCCTAACAATAGTAGCTTGACACAAAAACAAAAATAAGCATCATCACATAGACACAAACAAATTCGTCTGATAACAAATTGCAAGTTTGTTTCACTTCAGAATTCGGGCAATTAATCTTATCAAAAGTTGGGAACATTTCTCGAACCGTAAATATATTTTGAACTCGTGCGTTATGAGGCGTCGACGAAGCGAAAGATACAATGGGAAGAAAAAGGGATTTTTTAACGAATATGTACCATGTTATTTCACATTGTTTTTAATGTTGTACTACGTGGGCGGTCGCTCTAACCTCGTGATTGTAACATTTTCTTTTTCGTTGCCAACCTGAATTAATTTAGAGTCGAGTACATCCCTAAATTGGGGTTTGCTAGGAGCGGTACACGTACAAAATTAATTTACAAAGACAAGCGGCTTAGACTATGAGGCCAAAATGGTTATTATATAACGTTGCTTCATCGTTGTACTCCAGGTATTATTAATTATACTTATTTACATACAAACGGATTTAAGGATTAAACAACAACTCTAAAAATAAAGTTACCCTAATTAATCGTCTTGAATGAAACTTGTTATATTTGCGTCTTTATATTTAGTTGAATGTTCAGTTCGTTAAAGCAATATTGAGGAATAATGATGACGAATTGATTTAGGTTTCTAGATAGGCAATCACCTGAGTTTCTGACGTAATGTCGAGTTGGAGTGTATGCAATCTTCCAGAACAATCTTCTTTGAGCATGTCGGCGTCTATGTTGCCGGCTTTACTTTGGAATCCAGCGAAGACATGATAGCCGAGGTCATCCAGACGTCTTGCAAGAGCATTTCCCAGCACGTTATCACAGCCCGTCACCAACACAGCTTTTCCAGCTGCGGTTACCTGAATAACAGAAACAGTTCTTAAATTAACACGTCATGTATCAAATTAGTTAAACACTTCAGTCGTCTGGAACTGAAACAGTAAAAAATATCAAGTCACGAATAAGTAAAACTCGACTTGCGTTTACATCGAACCTAGAGGTAGTGTTATCAGAACCCATGAACCCTTTCAATCATGCTAGTATTGTTTCCATGCCTGAAATAATTATATCTCATTAGGGTACGAACGTTTTGCTACATCAGATATAATGGGCGGGCGACGAAATTAAGTTTTCGTCGAAAATAGATGACGACAGCTTGATTGATGTCCGTTATAATAACAGCTGAGTGAATATTTTATTCAAGCATTTGTACGTACCTATGCGTGACGCAGTGACGTCCGAGGTTAACTATTTCAGGGTTGCCTGATCGTTAATTCTTAATCTTGTAGTCCTCTCAATGTTCAAAGTCACGCACCAATCACATATTGTGTTTGCATACATTTGGTGATTAATGTTCGTATTCGTTTAATAGTTTTCTTTCTCATTCACCTAATATAAAGCGCATTTTAATGAATAGGGCTGGGTGCTACTTTAGAAAGGGTAATATATGATTCACACCTCAATAGGTTCATTTGAAACCTGAATATTTTATATCCTACTCATAGATTCTTTGAAAAATATTAAAGCAGCAATTTATCATTCAACAAAAAGATGTTATGATACCTAAATAAAAATACGTTAACAGTTGCTTACAGATTATAACTCTCAAGCAATAAATAACATTAATATAAAAATACCAGATATTGTTTTAGAGGCGAGACTGTTTTCTTTCATTCATACCTAGTTTATAAAACCGAAAGTTCAAATGTAGATTCTCATAAAAATATTTGGAGTTAGTAAGAAAACACCATGAATATTTTATTTAGTAGTGTCTATTCAGTAAAAACACGACCATTAACCTATTTTAAATCGGACTTTCGAATGGATTGATGACGCAAGTACGCAGGCTGGCACAATGGTACAATTGTTGCAATCTCCTTGCCCATTTGTAATGCGACACATTCACACTGACATTTTAGGGGTAATATTGCACAATATCTCCGAATATTTATTTCAGAAGGTGAAGAGGCGTTTTTATAGCGCACATAAGCTTTTCATGTTTTCAAGAACTGACTTAAGATTTTTCTTTGCCGATAATTTGTATTCTAAGCATTTCGTGTATTGAATTCAATTACCTAATTACATTATGTTCAGTTAAGTTACAAGAGTAACACCACAAATCACATTTCAAAATGTTTACTAAATCTTCTATTTGTTGGATTTGTACGGTGGGTTTGTAATAATACTCAGCCGCAGCGGGTTACAGAGACTAGGCCACAAATCAAAATTATCTAACTAGTTTGCATGCAATCTCGTTACAAATTCCATGAAATCTAACCATTAGTTTTTCTGTTACCGTACCGTCCAGTTATGGATAGATGTGCAGTGAGATGTTCTATCCATTTCTATATTAAGTGATTCATTTACTTTTCTGAATTTTTGTTTAAAACTTTAGAGATGTATTATTTTTATCGCCTTATGTAATACGTAAGTATCAGTTCTATTATATATACTATTATGTATTACTTATTTAGTTCTGATAGGGTAGTACATCTGATAGCTTAGAGACGTACTGATTTATTTGTAGTCTAACCTCTATCCGCTAATTAATTAATCTTATCTGATATTATCTGTTTGAGACAAATTGCAATAAGAAGCAAATCTGTCAAACACCAGCCGTAATTGATACTCCTTGCTATTGTTAGGAATCTCTAAAATCGAATAATTCTATAATAGATACGTTGGTTTAACTTGCTTCGTGAATATTTCAATAATTATTTTAATAATACTAACAGGTAATTGAAATATTCGACTATACAAACATAAAGTCTTTCGCTTAGGTTATTACTAGAGAAATTGAGTTATTGTGTCCTTCCCTTGGGAGGCTGCGACCCGATTCTATGTGCTCTGCTGTTACCGACGACTCAGGTAATCTTCAAAATGTTTATTCGTAAAAAACGAAGCAAAGGCGTATTATCAAGAGGGTTACATACCGGATTATTTCCCACATTATATGGATTTGTGGAAGATTTGTCTAGTATTACGGACTCGTTATACGAGCTGTTATTACATTTCTTTGTGATCCTTAAAATTCCGAAATTCTGCAACTAATCCACAGACTGTATATGGCTATGGATTCTTGCAACGCAAGAAAGAAAATTTGGTAGAAAACCAGGTTTAACGTAAAAATTAGTTTAACAATAAATAGTTTGACAATACACAACACGTCCTACGTAATTCTCAATTCCAGATTAGTAGTATTAGCTGAAGTACCTACTAACTTTTCACCAACTTTATTATTTCATCAATCTCAACATCTTATTGTAACAAATGGATAATTCATTGGTGAGTACTGTGAACAATTCAATACTTCACGGTATTGTGAGTAATTTTAAAGAGACCATAAATATTTCAATTCATAGAAAAAATGTTAGTGTTAATGCAAAAGTGTGTTTGTTTTTTTTTACATTGCAACGCATCCGTGTATGGTACGGAAGGTATTGTTTTTCTTTTTATGTTTGAAATTAGTTCGGGAGCTTTCCAGCTTGGGAATATCACTCTCTATGTTTTCGTTAAAGCTGACGAAGTCGCGGATGGAAAGCAATACTTTGTTTTTATAATAACTATCGTGAGATATACTAAATTAAGTAAAAACGCGGGTTACTCACGTAAATATACCCCCCCCCCATTGAAGAACCCCTCTGTGGTTCGAAACTAGTAGAGCATTTCTCGGTATATTTACGTGAGTGTATATTTACGTTTTTACTTAAGAAAGCAATACTCATACAATATCGATTTGAATAATATCTAGTACAACAGATTCTCTAGTCCAACAACATTTGTGTGAGAAACAGTTATCTAAGTACAAAGGATCGGTGAACAAGACAAACATTGATCCACAACGCTTTCTAATCTTGCCGCAACTAGACTGAATATTCCTCTGACTACTGGCTTTTCAGCATAAAATAAATGTAATCAATGCGAACCTCAGATGAATATTTAATAAAGTTCAAATCACTTTGACATTCGTATTTATTACGGAACGGGGTGGGTCCAATACTATAACTAAATTTGATTTCAGTTTAGTCGTCATAGGCGTGTCTGTCGAGCAATTAGCATGATCATTTAACTAGAGTGGTTCAATTAGAATCCTTAGTGAACTATTAAAGTAATTCTGAATTAGTATTTGTTTGTATTTCAGAAAATATTAGAAAACAATTTCAATTTTAAATCACACTGATATTATAAATGTAAAAGTTTCTTTGTTTGGATGTTTGTATGTTTGACCGTCAATCACGCTGAAACTACAGAACAGATTTTGATGAAATTTGGTATACAAGCAGGGTATGAGCTGACTTGGGTGATAGGACTTTTTTATCCCGATGAAATGGGATGCATGAGATAAAACAGGAATTCGCGGGCAAAGCCGCGGGTGAAAACTAGTTATTTATATTTTAAAGAATTGGATTGTCGCTGGGGGCTTTGGGTGATCAGCTGTTATGCAATGTGTACCAGGCTCAGGATCATTACAAAGGAGCCCAAGACCAGGACTTTTAATGCGGGACATATGATACCTAAATAAATAGAGTTTATAGAGTTATGGTAACTACTTAATCGGTGTAGTTTCTCATAACAATAATTGCCTGTTTTTCAGACTCATTCGATAACAGAAAACTGGTAATCAGTAGATGAACTCTTGAGGGGAAAACGCGAATCTTAATTACTTTATGAGTTTAGTTACCTATTATTTCTTTGGAAATTCCATTATACCTAATCTAAATTATTGTAGTTTCAGCCTACTTAACCGTGAATAGAGACAGAGAAAATTTCAAACGTACTTAACGATCGCAGGTAAGAGTTCCTTCACCCCGTTTCTGAAATATTCAGTTTGGGACAATGTCTCTTTTGTTTCCAGAATATTATTCTTGCGGTACCTGGGCGACAAAGTTCTCGAAAAAAAATCTTTCACATCATAGTAGTAAGTTTGATTTTTCTTTACAGTAAAATGTTATTAATTTCGAAAAGATATGACCCATAATTGCCTAGTTTTTTGCCCTTGTTTAACAATTACAATTGTCATTGAAATCGTTAAGGTCGTTCAGAGAATAAGATTACAAATGTACGTATATTATATAGGTGCAAATTATGCTAAGTGTAAGGGGACTGATAGAGAGTATTCAGTTCCTTATTTTGAATCATTTAGTAGCTAAGCTAGTAAATTTTCTTAAAAAAATTAGGTATTTATTACTTATATAAATTGTCATATATTTGATGCAGTTCCAAACATATAATATGTATGAAGTAGGTTGGGGTGAGTGGCAACCGATTTTATGACCTATTATTACTAACGGAGAGTGCACGATACGTGTGTCTAGCTCCTGTCAGAATATCGGTGACGCACGAGTTGCTGAGCCACCTCGCTATCTGTTACCAGTTGAGGTAGTTTCGGTATTCAATTCTTTTTCAGTAGACTATAAAAATGAGTGTTCAAATAAGATTTTTCGGATATTTGATAGCATGGTATCACTGATCATTCTGTGACATGGGTAAGCCTGTTGTAAATCAAAACTCTCCTCAATTCTATCAAAACCTAATTTTCATATTTCGTAATTCGATAATCGAAAAACTAAATAATAAGTAAACTAACAAAGTAATAAATAGTAAATACCAACCAATACACCCTTGTTTTCTATACCACTTGACCACCAGGAAAATACCATTAAGGAAAATCCATTACATTATGAATTTAAAATTACTTGGAATCGAGCTGAATCGGCATCAACATTCCATTCACGTTTTCTGTTTGAAATGTGTATAGATGTAATACTCTGCAGATTTCTGTTTCATATTTTAAGATGCGTCTCAGAAAACGCTACCCATGAATTATTCATTAATTATCCGGAGTGACTAAATGTCTTAATTAATAACGGCTAGATAACTTTCGCGGCAATTTAAATGCTTCAAAAACTTGTTTGAATTAACATTATAACAAACTTGAATGAAATATTGTATCAAAGTAAGTTTCATCTTGAAGACATGTCTGTCCTTGGCTAAAACTATTTAAAGAATATTAATAAGTAATTCATGTTTGTTTAACCAAAATATTGGTTTCATAAAAACCTAATAAATCACTGCGTCTGTTTATATCACTGTCTTGAAAACATTATGAATGTCTTTTGCTCATATATTAAAATAGATTTCATATGATCATACCAATCTTCTTGGGATTGCACTGTTTGAATAAACCTTAAACTTGTCCGTGGCCCGTACTACGTCTAGTACAAATCGCTACAGCACTTTAGATTACGGCCGCCAATAAATCAAATGATATACGGCTTTTCATTTTAAATGCAATTTCTATTCCTGTGTGGTCAAGTGGTTTAATGTTTGGCACCAGTTCATAACAAATACAGAGGTGCCAATGATTTAACGCAGTACCTGCGACTAGTTTAGGTAACAGTCAACAGAACTAAATTCATTTCGTATACAATTGATAGAAATAGTTTGTTAGAATTCCTGAATGTTACCGAGCTGCTGGAGTTTAGAATAAGAGAATATGTTACAGCCAGATCTCGAAACATTATAATATGGCATCAGCCCCAAGGTTGTTCAAATAGCACTCAACGAGATTGTTTATGGCATTGATCACTATATACATTTTGCTCCACAAATAGACCTTATTTATAGATCAATTTGTTTACTTAACAAGGACAAATAAAGCTCAATCAGGTTTTATTTCGTATTTAAACAAAGCTCGCAATAATTATATTTATCATTAACAAATACCCTGTAGTGCAAATTAAATTGTGGAAATTGAAATTGTTGCATGTGGGAGGCTGAGAGCTTTGCAATGAATATTCATTAATTTAAATGAGGTTGTATAGGTGCTACAGCTGTTTCCTTATACAATCTATTGTTACGGTTCCTTCATACAAGAATTTTCAACTCCAAACTTGATCTTCTTTGTGTCGACTTGAACAATTTTCACATAGAAACAGCAGCTCATGAATAGATACTCATGTATACTCTAAACTTGGTAGAGAAGGTGGTTGGGGCTGACGTTTCCAAGCATAATTTATGACGCAATTTGAGGCTAAAATTAACGCGGCATTTCAGTTCTTGCTTTAAAAAATATGCTTACGTGCCACATCTTATATATCTCAGTGCAAAGTACGTACATCTTGACATTGAGTTGATTTTTACAAATATAGATTCAGATCTTATCAACGGAGGAGACGAAACACAGAATTGTGTTTATACAGTACTCGAAATAATAGCAAAGCTGGAGCTAATTTTCGTAGTAAGTAAAAAAATATATTTGTGAAAGTAAATGTTCTAGTAATAAACATTTATCTTAGTGTTATTTACGTAATAGTTAAAAAATAAACCGGGAGAGTAGTGGGCGGCGACTGATTGGCATATCGTAACGTGTTGACTAACGACAGCCACAAGTTTACGTGTTTCTAATGTATTTATTTATACTTTATGGCTACCGTAAAACTGCGAACTATTCACCGTTTTCCTCAAAGTAATTGCAAGTTCAGTAATAATGTGCTCATTAACGACGTTTAGGTTGTTACTTACGGCTGAATTTATTTACAGATATTGAATGTTATTATGATAATTTTTAATCCAAACTCTTGAAGTACCTACACAAATACATCTGAGTAACTTTGTGTAAAATGAGCAGCCGATGAGCACAAAACTTACAGGCGCTGATTAGATTTGTGGAAACATGACTGCTTTGAATTTTATGAGTTTGAGAATAAAAAAATCAACTTGGCAACTTTGGTGGAAGTTTTGTTGAAAATTATGCTTTAATTGCTTGTACTTTGAGAAAAGTTTGGGAGACTTCAATTGCTCGGAGATTGCTTAGTGAAGTGAGTAAGTAATTTTACCTGAAGATTATGGTAAAACCAGAGAGATCCGGTGACGGAGATTGAGAACCAGAGGAAGAGTGTGAACACTGACACGGAGCTGAGGTGCATGGCGTTGAGGACTGTGGATAGCACCACGGCCAAGGCATGGCACAGTACTATCGGTAGAGCGCAGCGGTCGATGATGTCCCATGGCACCTCCTATGAAAAAAATAAACCATTTTAAAATGAAGAGCTTTTATTATTACATTGAATTATAATTCCAGACTTAGTGTCTGCAGTGTGTCACCTTCGTTAGTTACATCATTTGTATTATGCAATAGGGGATTAGTGTATTGGTATACGCCACGCTTGAATTCGTTTCATGGCACATTTGAGAATTTTGGTTCCAAGAAACTCAGAATTACTCTATAAGTTTTCATACTTGTATGACCTTGCATAAATAATTACTATGTGAATGTTAAGGCAAATAACTAGAATATTTAGTATTTAACCTTTAACTAAAGTTGACTATAAAACCGCGACTATGTGAAGAGTGCTCAGTAAAAGCTACAGACGTAAAACAATTTTGTTAACAATTCACCTACAATATTAAATTAGTTATCAGTGCCTGATATCTCGGGTTAAATTTCGAAGGACTTTACTTCATAAGTTTTCCCTAATAGTGGCGTGGGTGTGGATAATACCAACCCTATCAAACACCGTTCAAGTATGTAGCTACGAAAATGTTAGAATGTGTAAATCAACAAGTAAAGGTTTATATTTCACACAGAAGATGAGTGTGAAACTCAATGCCACTCGTACTTATTTCTGGATATAAAATATCTTAAACGTCCCGTAATTTCCCCATGAACTACAATTATGGGGAGTTATTAAAGTATAATATTATGTTGTTAAAATATTAGGTTTGAAATACCCTGTGTGTTATGCGATCTTTGAATTCATTAAGCAACGTTAATTAAATCGAATGTGAGATGAGATTTTCCATTCCTGAAATTGTGTAAGGCCTTTAATCCTGGAAGGAGTAAATTTGGGTTTTCCAACCCAATACTTCTTGCTCGGCAGTCGGACTTAACCTCTCGGCCTATTCCTATACTTCTTCATGTTTATTAGACTCGGCGCCCTTCACACATCTTCGCTTTATAAAACAGTTCTTTAATGACGCGCGGATCAAAGCGCCTCTTGCTATTAGATGTAGCAACTATTTAAAAATAAATAATGTATGATACTAATGACATTAATCATGGCAGTCTATTCAAAAGTAGGACAAATGTTATTTAAAACACACAAAATTTAAGACAAACATATGTTTTCATCAGTTTAAATGTAGTTAGAAATATAGAAAACAGGTTACAGTTATATGGCAGAATAGATGATAGACTAAGAGCCAGTAACGTAATGGAATGATATTATCCACTTATAAACCTTGTCTTCAACAACAAAGTGCTCGCTCCGACCTGTCAAATACTGTAACATCATAAAGGTGACTGATTGAGACGTAAAAATAGCTATTATGAGCTCTTACACTATAAACAATTCATCTACTTCAATGTGGTATGCTCAAAGACATTAGAGAGTATTTATTTATTGACGTTTAGTAGCCAATAACTTCTTAATAATACGTGAAAAGTTTAAAATAATATTTAAGAATGCAGCTGACGTCGGTCGGTCGACAGAGGATAAAGTACAATGATTATTATTTCTTCTGTTTACCCAAAGGTCGTTCAAGATAATCGCTTAAAGTGTTTGTGCAGTTTATTTTCGTAAAGAAAGCAATAAAGAGACAATTTTTGTTTTCGCAGTTGTCTCACAGATTGTTTATGATTCATCTTCTGTGCCACAAATAGAATAAAATGAAAATTATCAACAACATTCGTTGATATTTTAGATTGGTTTTAAATTGGCAACTCAGGTTGATGGGCTTCCTGTGGCTCTGAATAATCCTTTTGATCGTGATCAGTAAGCACTTCATATTTCACTTCATTGTTATTTTGATTTATAATGTTTTGTAAGTAGGTTTAAACAAGGTTCTGATAAATTTTAACTACAGACAAAGTGCAGTGTTTGTCTTTTGTTTTATTTATTGGCAACATTAATTTTGAGTGTGTTCTAAAGATCTCTTCAGCTATTAATGTAATAACAATGAGCATAAATAAAGATGATATCAATTTCTCGCCACTAATAGTATTCATAGATGCATTATCATTTTCGTTGAGGTGCCATTAGTATTGTTAAGTACTACGATATGAATCAAATTAGAGTGTCATATTTGTAACTACAAAGTGAACTGGTTGTCATTAACGCTTTTGATACGATATAGCTTTCTTTTACAAATGCTTACTAATATTATATTAAAAATGTGATAATGTCTTTCTGAAAGTGTGGTTGTTTGTACATATAGGTATCTTTCGGTTATATTGCCACATAGTCATTTTATAATGTTCTTTTGGTGTCTAAAGAGAGATAGATAAAGACTTGAAGAGTAACACAGGTTACGCTTTTCTTTAATCGCGCGATTCAAGCCGAGGTTTTTTTTAAATATTTTTAGTTACTTATAAAGCAAAATAAGAAAATAACAACTATTTATAGGATTATAAAATTATATTTTTATCTCAAATAGTAGGTGTTCCATATCCATTATGCTTACATGACAGAAGAATTTGGGAAATGAGTTATACTGGGTATAAATCGTCAAGCAAGGTCAGTCTGAGTGCTAAGGGACATGAGTTTACACTAACAGTCGAATAAGTCAAATAAATCAAATGAAACGGGAACATAAACCGCCCACACATGCGTAAATTTCTGTCTTCATAAAACCACACCATAAAAGTTTCAGCTAAGTTGACATTTTAAAACTATTTCGCTAAAAACATTTAAATTTTAATATTACGTATCTATATAAACGAAGGTAAAGCGTTGGTTTGTTTAATTTGATAATATCTCCCATATTACTGCTTGGTAATAAAAACTGTGTATTTTAATTCGTTGTTGAAACATGGTATATTAGTATTTAACTTTATACCAAGTCCACAACGTTACACCCTGTCTTCTATTGACTTAAGTAGATACAATAAAAACCAAGCTAGCATTTTATTCGTATACTATATTATTCAAATTCATCAATGACCACTGACCAGTGTATATTTTACATTTATTTATTTTAAAATATTGTTCCTATAGATTCACGTAGGTACACATGACTAAAGAATATAATACAAAACCGCAGGATAAAACTATTATACGATAAAATACAAACGAAGGTATAATGAGAGAAAAGTCTTTGTTTCATTAATCCATCGTAACTTTACTTGATTACGTATTTAATTTGAGAGAAATTTTTAATGATATTCGAACAAAGACCTTCAAAAGAAATCCTTTTACTTAAAGTTTTATTATAATACTAGGTTTTCGCCCGCGGCTTTGGTTGTTACTGAGACGAAAATTATCTTGTTAGGTAATCCGGGTTATGATATATCTTTGGGCGTAACAAGTACCTACCTAACCGAAAAATTACTTTGATATTTGCCCATAACGAGTACCTAATTGTGCATTATTATTATTAGCGTTTAATGATATTGATACTTATTATGTTTTGATTATAATAATATAATAGCAAATAATAGTTTTCTTCAAAGCCATTTAAACTTTTCCTCAGAGCATCAAATGAAGATATCATTTGTGTTTGTCAGAACAATACACAATTTATACAGTTACTTTTAACCTTTTTCACTTATTTATTCATATCATGCTAACAATTTAACAGGAAAATTAGATTTTAATTAATTGTACGGAATGAAACGGAAATTAACATTCGCGTCTCAACATACAATTAAAAAGCTTTTATTACCTGGCAATAGAGACATCATAAACCCGAGTTCATTCACTTATGCCATAAGCATAAACAATTAGACGAAATATTAATAACCTGTGCGTGATTTATAAAGTATTTATAATATATAACATTACCTGTGACGTAGACTGTGAGCCTTTGATGAGTGAGCCGCGTCTCGCTGAAGGCCGACGGTGCATCGACGGCGCCGTGATGGATGCACGCCGGGTTACGTCTCCCGCTACCATCGTACCAGCTCGCTGTTACGTCGCTGTGTTCATAACATAACACTTTATAACTATACTGTCAACTTACTACTCATTATCTCCGTCTACCTACTTAGCGACTCATTTTAACAATGATAGCCTCACCTAAAAGCTTTAACCGTCGCGGGACGGGTTAAGAATTCGTTAATTATATGTGATCAATGTGATCAATTAATGCGTGTAACCTGTAAGCAGCCCCGGTACGGCGTCGCAAATAGAAAGTGCAGCCGATGTAAATGTCGCGGATGTCGGTGGAGTGCGTTGCGGCCGGCGGCCGGGGACGGCACACGGGTTTATTTTTAAGCGAACGGTCACTGTGGCGACCTAAAACGTGCCTGTGCCAGATTTATATGATTTTTGATAGACATCGAGTGGGCGTGATCAATTTAAACTCTGATCGAAATGTGACTGTAATTCGCACGATTGTGACCGTTTGTTTACTGCGCCTACACCAAACTCTATATCGGAATCAGGAAGGGCTTCCTTTTATTTGCCATGAAATGGGATTGCTTTCAGTTCCGAGGTTCCCAATGTGTTGACGTGGATAAAATATAATTTACTCGTTTTAATGTTTGCAGCTATTTTTCTAGGAGTGGGTATCTATTGATGTTGTCACTGTTTAATATTTTTCAGTTTATCAATCCGTAGATAGATCATAAATAACTTACTTATAAACTGAAAAGTGTATTTTTATGTGAATAAATGTATGTACATTTCAAACGGTTTGACTGCACGGTTGGTGCGGTGGCTGGGCAACCGGCTGCCGTGCAACGTGTCGCGGGTTCGATTCCCGCACGGGACAACACTTTGTGTGATCCACAAATTGTTGTTTCGGGTCTGGGTGTCATTGTGTATGTGAACTTGTATGTTTGTAAACGCACCCACGACACAGGAGAAAATCCTAGTGTGGGGCAACGTTTTTTTCAAAAACAAAACAAACAAACAAACAAAAGAATCGCTTTGCTATAGACGTTGTTAACTAATTGAACTAATTGTTTGAAAATATTGTTTTAAACCATATTTTTGATACTCTACTACTGTCTTTTTAGTTTTTTTATATATTTTTTGTGGCATTTATATAAACTGTGTTTTGTCTATACCATCTAGGTATACATACATCAAATGCTTTAGCCAAGCATACTAACAAATTGTTTTATTAAACGTCTATGGTCTTGAAAGTACTTGAAGAAAGTGGAATAAACATTTCTATGGGCACCTTTTCTGCTTTTATAAGAGTTTTATGAAAGGAAGTCAATACAAAGAGTATTCATAATTGTTTCAAGCCAGTTTCAAGACTTTTTTGTTGGCGGTCGCAAGGCTTTGTTGTCACATTATTTGTTTCATTTCCAACAAATTGTATTGCCAGCGCCAATGAAAAACCTGCCTACACTTTGTTGGCTGTAAGTATATTGTACAGTATAAAGACTAAGAATTTGGAAAAACCAAATTTTTCCACTTCATTGAAAGGTATTGTAAAATTTTCTTTAAACTCATTTGAATGAACCGTGTACATTTTTTTAGTGTGTGTAATAATTAAGCGAATGATTTAAGATATATTGTACAATATTATACAAACAAACTGTTGTTAACCTGTAAGTGCATAAGGTAATGTCAAAGTATCAAAATAATCGAAATTTTGTTAATTTTCTCAAAATTTCATAACACGAGACACAAAACAAAACGTACTAATTTTTAGAAAGAAATAAAAAGGTCGATCAACGATGTATACGGTTTACGGTTGGTTTCACAGAGACCTAATAGAACACTCGATTATCATATTTTTCAATTTACGTAAATGTCACTTCAAAATTAAAACACACACAAAATCCTTACAGAGGAAATCAAAAACAAATATATTCACAATTATTAATTCAATATTTAAATATCACATACTTTTAATAGAAAATTTGTATTAAAGCTGAAGTGGTGTTACGGTTACGCTGCGCGAGCGCATTCGTTTGGGCGGGCGCTAGGCGGGCGGCGCGTGGCGGGCGCGATCGCTCACTGTACACCGACGAGCCGCCTGCGCAGCCGCATACACGCATGCGCCAAAATTAAACACATGCGCATTATTATTTATTACAACATTTTCGGCTAGATTGTAAAATCAGAAACCTACTCAATGCTCCAGCAGAGTGGAATGTTTTTTGGCAAAACATCGAAACATTAAATCTCCGCCACTCAGATATTTGTATTTCTAAAGGAGAAACTTTTACATACAAAAGAAAATGTGTGTAGGTACACAAAAGTTTCGCTTTCACGGGTTCAATGTTTTTGAATGCTATTTTGAGTTTTAATTTATAATTTGACTTTCAAAGTTATGAACGTTGATATTCAAATGTAAATTAACCTTCAAATGTTTGTTTATTGATAAAAGGTAGCCTAATAAAATTTGTGTTTACATGTTGCGAAGTTAAAAGAAAAATAATTACATGGAAGCATCATAAATCAGTTATAATGTGGTATTTTGTTTAAACATTTTGAATGTTCCGTGAAGTATATACAGTGTGTGTGTAGGTCGTACCTACAGTATCGTGCTCTTCTATGATCTGCCTACGCACCTATTGTCGGTGCCATGCAGCCAAGCATCAGTTAAATGTTAGCGGAGCATTATTATACAGTACGTCCCCTGCAGCTGCTTAGTCAAATAACTTAGGGAAACCTTTCATAAAACTATTTTATAAAGGTCAATTTTCTACAAGGATCAAACAAAATAATCACCGGAACGTGGTTTAAAATATATTTTAGCTGAAACTCAGTGCAACATGTATTCCAAGTTAACTTCAACCATATTTCATGTTAAGGTAAAATGATTACCTTATGTAGTGTAGAAATTATCGTCGAGCACCAGACGATAATTTAATACAATTATCGTCACCCATAATGAGGCCAGCCCTAAGGTAAAAATAACTAAAGTTTTAAGCGCTATTTTTGCACCCACTTCTTACTAGTAAAAGTATGCATAACGTACGTATAGAATAAAATTAAACAAGTATTTATATTGACACGAAAACGGAAGCTTTTATCTGCTACCGACAGTTGATGGACAATATCCGAATTGAATCAATTAAGAAATTTAAACGCTGGCAATTCACTGTCAAAAGAGCTATCTAGATATACCTACGCATATAATCAAGCTGACATGTTTTAAAAGAAAGTGTCGCAATATTTCAACGCTGCGCTTTAGACAAATGAAAATATGCGAACTTTCCAACAACATTTCTCTAGTACTCGAAACAACAAAGAATGAAGTAATAAATTCAAGAATAAAACAAGTGAATGTGCAATACTGCCACAATGAAACATCTGAGATATGCGGATAATAACAAGGCATAAAATAATGTGGTTTCGCAATCGAATATGTAATTAATCAACATGTTAAATGCGAGTTTATAACCAACTAGCTGTTCACCGTATAACCAATGAGGTTTGATGTAGTTATTGTACCGATATCAAGTAATAAATGTGGATACAAAATGTATCAAGTGTTGCATGTGGGTTCAATGTTATTAAAATATACATTACCATTAATATCTACTACCTTTAGATAATTTCAGAGTTAGGAAAATACCATACTTTAAGTTATCCTCTATGGCTAACTGCATCAGCCGTATATCTGTTAGCAGTTACGGGCAGTCTAAATAACCATAAATTAGAGATAGAATTTCAACACACTAGAGAAAGAATTAAATTGAATTAAATCAGTGAAAGAATTTACATACTGTGAGAGTTTATTGAGACTGTTTGTTAGTAAATGGTGCTACATAGTCTGTGGTTGTCTCGAATTACGTTTAGTTGAATGGAAGCTTGCTATTTACTTCACTTGCCTGTCAATTTCATGAAATGATACCATTGCATTGCAAGGGAACGCCAATTACCGATCATTGATAAAAAAGAATAGTGTTAATTGTAGATACCTCACTAACAGCCCGCCCCAGCTGCGCCCAGGTGCAGTTTCCTAAAGTTTTTGGTGAATATATAGATTTTTTTTCATTCCAACTTCTACTTATAATACAATTTGTTCTATTGGTTCCGGAGTTGTGCGTACAAAGGATTCAATAATAATGAAAAAGGTATCTTAGAAATCAAATCAGGATAATTATTAATTAAGCTGTGAAAAAAACCAATATTGAATCGTACATAGATTGTACAAGAATTATTTTTTTTCGAACTAATTCTGATTCTATTCTCAAGTGTAAACCCACGCAACCTTTAAAACGTTTCATTGATTTTATTACGACGAGTAACAAATTGACTTCCTCATAATCTGGTGAAAATTGGATGTTACCCGCGTATGTTATGTTTATATAAAAAAAATGTGTACCAAATGAAATTGAACCCTAGAACCGTCTGGATTAAATAATGAAAGTTCCTTTATGTAAATAATTTGATCGTCATTTAACATCATCATTATTCTCAAAATATTCACTGTTGAACAAAGGCCTCCCCTTATTCTGCCTCGTCGAACAACAAACCGCCACTTACATTTAGCGGTTACCCGTGACTCTGACAATGTCGACAGAAAGCCACTAAACAACTTCACATTTCATCAAATTTTCAGTTCAATTCGGTATCGTGTTGATGAAACCAGCCAAAATATAAAATAAACTTGATTAATAATAAAAAACCACCCCACGTAGACGGAGAATAAACGTAAGAAATGAAAAACTTTCATTGTTATAAAATAATAGGTACATCCACCTATTTTATAAAATATCAAAACCACAAGCGCACAGGCTGTGTTTGTCGTTGATTTTCATATAATTGGCGTGGGCGCTTATAGGGAAAGCGTCAAAGTTTTTAACAATCGTGCTTCTGGCAAAGTTCGTTGATTCTTTGAATTTATTGTTCAAAAACCTAATGAAATTAAATGAAAGGAACTACATACAATGTTTTGTATTAATTACTATGTCTTTGTACCTACCACAAAGTAAACAATTATTATTTGATCGTTTTCATGTTGGTTCAGATAAAAAGGAAAATGACAATAAAGAATGATTTTGAGACATTTATTTCAATGGAAATGTACATAAATTAACTAAAAAGTACATGCACGTTCCTATGTACATATATAAGAAATGTAAACGGAAAATCAAGTTAAACGAAAAAGAAATATAAAAGGAAAACCTTTTGAAAGAAACATAGGAACCCTTTTAGAATATGTCAGATTATTTCCTAAACTAGACTATGGAAGATATGTGTCGATGGAGTGAATGTCAACAGTCACCCATATTCATCCTAGAAATGCATCACTCGGCGATAAACTCAATATTGTGCGGGGGTGTTAAATGCTACTAGGGATCTAAGCCAAAGGTTAGTCATTTATACCTACTGTTTACGTATGAAGATACTTCTAATGATATCGATGTTTTTTTTAATAGAAACATAATTAGAACAAAATGAAGGTGAACCTTTTTTCTACCGTTTGCAGTTAATGCAAAATTGTTGTATAAAAACAATTTAATTATTTACTGGACAATATTTAACAGGCATTGATATTCATTGATATTGGTTCAGCAATTCAGGCGTAAAAGATTAA